CCTCAAGGAGGGGTAAAGACGTGAGTAACTAAGTAAATGAGTGAATAAATAATTAGATTACTTATCAGATGAGTAAAAAAGTAGATAAGTGATTAGATAAGTATTTTCATAAGTAAATCATTTTAAGGCAAAAAATGACACCGAAAAAAAAACCCAGAAATAACGGACAAAACAGGACAAAAGAACAACGTATTTGCAATAATACAGCTATAGGAAAAGACGAAAATAAAGAAAAATGTCACTTAGAGGGAAGAATAGAAATTACTGGGAAGAAAAATAGTTAACAATAAATTAGGCAATGGATACAGAGAGATGAAACTACGCTGAAAACTAGGTTATATATGATGTATATATATATATATGCTAATCATATTTAATAATATAATTCTCACAAGCAAGTAGCTATCAAGACTCAGTAGCTGAGTGGATAATGCGAGAGCGTTTAAAGAGAAAGGTACTGGGTTCGAGTCCCATAGTGAACATCAACTCTGAGATGCAGGTACATCCAGCTGACGAGTCCTGAATGGGACAAAACGCGCGTCAAACTGGATTCGATTGCTAACCACTATCCATCTTTGCTTATAATTCTTTATCGTTTACTCAGTCAGTTACTTTATCTATAATAGTGACTCACTCATTTATATATGGATACACTTAAAGCTTTACCAATTCACTTATCTATATTTCACCTAATGCCTAGTCTATGTTTATATTACTTAAATTTTGTCTATACAAATTAATGAGAAGATCAGTAAGCAAATGTATTTGATAAATCTTCCATTACTGACACATCACGGTTAACAGATAAATGTATTGTACTGGTTTAATTAAGAGCTGATTATACTGAAAGAAGCTGAATAGAAGCTTGATTCAGTTCCCCACAGAATTCAAGTAATTCTTACTTAAAATAATTCAAAAGCGAAATCTCTGATCCATGGTATTCGACTGATTACTCACAAATACTAAACATCAAAAAAATTATATGAAACCAAAACCTGAATAGTTTTGTCTTGGAGTATACTTTATACAATATTTTATTTATTTATTTAATCAACTAAATGTTGGTACAAACGTGCACCAGATATATATGCGCCACACAAGTCTCATTCGATTTGTGTGAGGGCTGTGATACTGCCCACGTGCCTAAACCGAAGCAGGTGGCTTTCCCACAGGGCCACAACTGGAGCCTTTGACCTGAAGGTCTGATGCACAAGCCAGTGGAGCATCGTGAGGAGATGCAGTCCCATGGTAGCCGGTCACCAACCATTTGTTCGTTCAGGATCCTGGAGCCCAAGTACACCATTGGTTTGGAATGAGGGTTTTCCAACTCCCCTAGGTGAACCTTCCGTGTCCACCAGCCCAGTTAAAGCGCCAAACATTCGCTTTTCTTCCTCTCCACTTCGTAAACCACACCCTTGTGGTGAGAAGGAAGTGATTAGGACTTCCCTGGCAGAGGCTATATACGCGTGGCCATATGAGAGCATTTGGAGAGGGAGAGTGGACTCTCCCTACTCTTGGCCGTCCCAGGACATTTGAGTTCGTCACCTTATACATTTAAAACTTTAGAGTAGAATGTCAACAACTAGTATATAAATGAATCATTTAATCAATTTCATGCGCACATATACAAGAACGTAACATTGAAATGTAGAAATTCAATGAATGATAAACAACAACTTTATTATATAAACAAAAAGATTAATCACACTTTAATTGATATTCTAATCTTATTTCTTTTGAAATGAATAAAAATAAAGAAAAAGGATTAATTTATCTACCTCGGTTTTAATTTTTTACATTGAAGCCAATAACATTAAAGATTGACATAAAATAAAAATGTTCAATTAATTCTACAGAAGGGGTTTTTTGCGGAGATTTCAGTATTTTCATAGTTGAAATCATGAGTCAATTGAAGTTAGACCACCATGGAAAACCTGGAAGCACTTCTTGACGACCGTTTCGTCCTATTATGGTACTCTTCAGTGATAGTACGCATCCATGATCCCGCACCCGCGAGATTCCAACCCGGGACTTATCAGCTTCGCTCCAGAGCACTTAGCATCCAACGGTGTTAATGTCTAACTTCAATTGATCCACGATGTTTGAGCAACCGTTCACCAATTGTCTTGTCTGCTGTGAAGTCCCATAATAGGACGAAACAGCCGTCAAGCAGTGTTTCCAGGTTTTCCATAGTGGTCTAGCTTCAATTGACTAACACATTCAACTATGAAAATTGAATTATTTCTCATCTGAAAGGGGTTTTCGTGGATATAATAGTTGAATTTATGAGTCAATTAAGGCTAGACCATCATGGAAAAACGGAAAGCACTCGATGGCAGTTCCGTCCTAGTGTAATGAACGAGAATACGAGTGGAGACAATCGAATGTATTTGGACACAAATTACAAACTATCTCACTAAATTCTGATAACCATACCGTAAACTGTTAATTTGCGAAATAACAATCACTAGTCACAATCTTAACTGTTCCTTCTTCAAATATCAGTCCATCTTCTCTAATTCCATTGTTCATGCATTTTTGTACAGATCGCGCTTCATTTCTGTTATTTCCTTATCGATCTTCTGCCAAAATACCTTCTATGTTTGACCATCACCTTATACTACTTATGTGGATATAAGTAGACCACACCACCCACTAGTATGCGACTCCTCAACAGTGCGCATACATGATTGCGCATGAGGGACTTGAACCGTCCAATGCTCCCATGTTTGCATGGTGATCTAGTTTTAATCAACTCATGAATTAAAATATTCACAATGATTATAATACACTTCTTGTATTCATATACATTGTTTTCATTTATTAAAGACATTTTCATTACTAACTAACACTGGTCGAATGATGAACTCGTTATATTACACATTGACTGATGTTGAATATTTCAGTCACCGGATTTTATAATAGTGATCTAAAAGTATAATGCTCAATGTGGGATGATGGAATATGAGTGTAATTTATTCGAGTGGTTCTAAATCAGAAACATACAAATATGGATAGTGGATGGATAGTGGCTAGCAGTGGAATCCAGTTTGATGCGCGTTTCGTCCTATCTGGGACTCGTCAGATGGATGTACCTGCATCTCAGAGTTATTGTTCACTCTGGGACTCGAATCCAGTATCTTTCGCTTCAAACGCTATCGCGTTATCCGCTCGGCCACTGATCGATGGGAAGATTCAAACAAACAATACTCAATGAATTTAGACAAATATTTGGTGTTTGCGTAAAACTTGAACATAGATATTGTGTAGTTAGTATTCGTTAACAGATGTACTTGAAATCTTGAGGGATTTCTAATCATCCAAAGGCTGTCATTTTAAATCATTTAGACTAACGATCATCTTAAAACTTAATCGATAGAATTCAATTAGCTCAAAGGACTAGATATTATTCACCATTAAATGGTTAGTCAGTTATAGAAATACGCAGTTTTGTAAATAGTATCAATTTTATGATTGGAACTGATCAACATAGAAATAAAATAAACATGCAACAGATATGTATCACTTAAATAGTATCAACAAGTAAACTGAACCATATTTCCAAATTTTGCTTGAGATAACTGACAGTTATTCTCATAAAGGGGTAGATACACACTGCTGAGATGTTCCATACTAGGACGAAATGGTGGTCCAGTGCTTGAAGGTTTTCAATGGTGGTCTAGTTTTAATTACTATAATCTCTATGATCCATTATTCTGATCATAATCATTATGTGCTCACTAGTGATTAGCTTCAAGATGGATTTCCTGGAATTCTAGTGAGAGGACGTGACCAGTAGAGTCCAATCCGTGTCGAGTAGGGACAGGTATTAACTTTGAACAATGGATGAATGTTTGCGCGAAATCATGGATCGATTGAAGGTGAACACTTACACCGTTAGATACCGGTCCAGTGGTCTAGAGATGCTTCCATATACAATAATCTTTGAATGCAATAGTTGATATCTTCAATTTCAGTTTATTTGTGGCTTTTTTTTGGTAGTACTCGTAATTTTGTAGGTAAGATCATACTCATTCTTAAGACAAATGGATTTCCTTTAGTTTTATCAGAGCTTGCAAAATATGTTTTAAAAGTTTGTCATCAGTAAACGGATGAATATACATTTTTCTATTAGTTGTGTGAATCTTCCCATTGGTGTTTAGAACTGCAATTGATCACTCTCCTAAATATCGATGGCAATATTTAAATAAACAATACAAAACTGAATTACAAAATCACTTCATTTCACAATCTAGTGGCTATCTGGATTCAGTAGTTAACAGAAGGGGGCTTCGTGGAGACTTTAGTAATTTTATGTAGTTGAGATCATGAGTCAATTTAAGCTAGACCACCATGGAAAACAAGTATCTACCTCAGTACAATAGAAATTGGTCGATCATTTTCGTGGATTGGTTGAAGTTAGACATTAACACCATTGGATGCCGGCTCAGTGGTCTAGAGGTTAAGCGCTCACACCCGAGACTGATAGGTCCTGGGTTCAAATCTCACGAGGCGGGATCGTGGATGCACACCGTTGAGGAGTTCAACAATAGGACGAAACGGAGTTTGAAGTGAACGGTATTAGGTTGGGGTCCTAGATTGAACATCAATTATGTGGTACAGCTACATGCAACTGATGAATCTCAAATGAGATGAAACACGTGTCTTGGATTCCACTTCTAGCTACCATTCATTTCTGTTTATTAACAATATGTTTCTACAGCAAATCCAAACCAAGTTAAAACACAGTTTATAAAACCGTGAAGAATACCGAAAACTGAATCAAAAATCCATAAACATGATTGATGATCTCCAATACTCCATTGAATTCCTTGACAACTGGTTTTTATCAATCCTTGTTTTACAGGTCGTTTTTCCTTAAAACGTCTTCTTTTAAAATATGTTATATCCCTAATCACATTACTTATTATTGAACAAAAACCAATATATATATGCATTATCTAGCTTAGTCCTTCGATTTCTTTCTTTTTTCTTCAAAGATCCTGAACTGTTGAAATTGAATCATGGAAGTACTGGGTTCAATGTTGAATCACATGAAAAAGATAAACGCACAAAACCTCGGGTTAAGGTTGGTAATTTGATTTTAGTTTAAAAGTTATAAATAGATGATTTTTATATATACTTGAAATCATTAGTCAGTTGAAGTTAGACCACCACCGAAAACCTGGAAGTACTGCTTGACGGCCAACTCGTCCTATTGTGGGACTCCTCAGCAGTGAGCATCCACGATCCCTCCTCGTTAGATTCGAACCCAGGACCTACCAGTCTCACACCAGAGCACTTGACCGATAGAGGATTTTTATTTTAAAAAAGAAGAAAATCTACATCTTGATAGATATTTTCGAAATGTTTGTGTTAATTTTCTTCAGTTCTTCTTATAAGTTGATATTAGTTGAAATGATTCAGCATAGACCATTGAACTCCAGATAACATGATACTGATTACTGACTAATGTTTGATTAGTTTGATCACTTCGGATCTAAGTAAATCAAATATGTTTATAAATGGATCATTGTGTGATGAAGGATCTAGTGTTACTGAAAGCATCGGTTCTTTTATTACTATCAATGCACTATGCTAGTCAGTTTCAATAGTCGTAAATTCTAGTTCTACGAGTTTCTGTTGTTTCTCTTTGACAAAGACTTTAAATTACAAAAGTGGTAATATAAGATTAAACATGTAGCCTTACAGGTGCTTTGTGTCTTGATCCATAGGAAGTGTGTAAGATCAATTGATAGTTAAGAATCCATTATTCTGAATATTGGTTTGTTCATTTTGAATTGTTTATTTGAATCTTTTCATTGATAAATAAGACTGCAATTGACTAGTTTCTTATTGGTATATGTGCATCGCTTTGATATTGTCACCAAGTCACAAGCAATGTAAGCAAAGATGGGTGGTGGTTAATAATAAGAGACTGATTAATTGTAAACCTAAACATTAATGTGAAAATTCAAACAAACAATACAAAAATGAATTAAAACACCACTCCATTTCACAAGCTAGTGGCTCTCTGGATTCAGTAGTTAAAGTGGATAACTTGAGGGCGTTTTATGCGAAAGGTATTGTGTTAGAATCCTGGAGTGAACATCGAATTTGTGGTGCAGTTACGTCTGACTGACAAGTTCGAAGTAGGGGTGAATTGGGGCGCGTCCTGAATCCCACTGTTAGCCACTATCTATCTTTGCTTATAAGTCTGTTCATTGTAACTCTAGCATGATCTTACATATTTCATCCATTTATAATATTTAAATAACTTTATTTATGAAATTATGTAAATCTGGAGTGAAACAGGAATCTAAATTTCTTACGTCCAATTTCGCTACTGGAACTGTCATGAATAGACAAAATACTAGTACTGTTGTATAAGTTCAATTGCTGACAACTAATATGTGATACTTAATAACAGAACTCAGATTAATATTGAGAAAAGTACGACTATAGATAATCAAAAGGACCTTAAGATGACAATGAGTTATATATCGTTTATTTATCTAGTTAGGAGTTAAATTTGAATACCTGGACCTGCTATCAGTTGGTATTACTTAAACAATAATTTAATATCTCTATTTAAATTAGAATATCACAGGATTAACAGCTTTAATTAAAGAAATATCACAAATTTGATAGTTGAATTCATGAGTCCATTAAATCTAGACCACCATTGAAAACCTAGAAGCACTGAACGGCCATCTCGTCCTGGTATGTGACTCCTCAGCAGTGCTCAACCACAATCCCGCCTGAAGAGATTCGAACCCAAAACCTATAGGTCTCACGAGTGGACGCTTAACATGTAGACCACTGAGTTGACATCTAATGGTGTTTATGTCTTACTTCAACCAATACACGAAATTGAACCACCGTCCATCATTGTCTTCAGTGAGTAACTGTTTCTACAGACCTGGTTGAACTGCATTGATCACGGCTTCTAACTGAAACTCCAGGAAATACATCTGGAAGCCAATTAATAGTGAGCACATGATGATTATGATCTGAATGGTGATTTGTGGAGATTGTTGTAATTTACTAGTTTGAATTGATGATTTGGATAAAGGTCGTTCAGGTTTTTCATGTAGTCTAGCTTTAATTGACTCATGAATTCAACTATTAACTTACTACAATCTCCACAAAACTCTCTCTTCTGAAAATATTACAAAATTACTGAGTTACATATTTGTCCCATTGTCAAAGAAATATATAATAGTTCGTTCTCAAGACGTTAAAAACATTAGGTCATCTATAAAAGTGAATCATTTTGAGATGGTATTTATTTATTTAAACAGTTAAATATTGGTACAAAGGGGCATCAGATATATATGTGCCACACAAATCTCATTCGATTTGTGTCAGGGCTGTAATACTGCCCATGTGCCCAGATTGAAGGTTTTCTTAAGGGGTTACACCTCCAGCCTTTGACCTTAAGGTCTGATCCACAAGGCCGTGGGGAATCGCAAAAAGATGCAGTCCCATGGTATCCGGTGATCAACAATTGATTCTTATACCATTCGTTCTCTCACGATACTGGAGCCAGCCCATGTGCACCATTGGTTTGGCATCGAGGTTTTCCAACTCCCCTAAGTGAACTCGATGTGTCCACCAATCCGGTTAAAGCGCCGGATATTCGCTTTTCGTCCTCTCAATTTCATAAACGAGAAGGCAGTGAGCAGGATTTCTCTGGTAGATGCTATATACGCGTGGCCATGTAAAAGCATTTGGAGATGGGGATCGGACTCTCCCTACTCTCGGCAGTACCACAACATTTGGAGGGGGGGGTAGAGAATAGTTTTAACTTGAAATGAGAATGTTGATTTGTTCCTTCACTATATACTGAGATTACTAACCATAATTCATTATACCTATTTCACATATGTATATAAATATACATATTACTTGAAAGATTATTTCATGACCTATATTTCCTAAGAATAACTGATCTTCAAAGAATAATCTAGTCGCTTTTTTTGTTTTAAGGTCAAGTTACTAAAACAAATGTTAACATCATAGAATGTTGACATTACTATACTATTCAAATTCATAGACTGATACGATATACATCACCATCATTGCCATGATCAGTCATTCTTTCCTATTCTCCCCTCTACTGACCTATTATTTATGCTTCTTTATGGTTAATGTGTCCTTAAGTAAAGCATACATAATCATTGAACTTATATTGTATAACATTGAATTTACATTATTGGTATTTATAATAACAATATTGTTTTGTTTTAATCTTTTCATTGATGTCTTTTTAAGACTGTCATTGATCAGTCTCTCATATTGGCATCCTGTGGGCATCCTGTGTGTATGGCCTCGATATTAGCTTTCATTCCCTAGCATTATACATGAGATATTATTCCCTTTTAAGATAAATATCCAGTAATATCTATTAACCCGACTATCTATCTATCTATCTACCTACCAACCTATCTATGGACAAGCGTAGATACCTAAATATTAATTTAATAGAAATCTTATTATTCATGTATAAACTTAATGGATAATAAGGTCATACATATCATGTAGAAAAAAAGATAATAATAACCCACCGAAAGCCCCCCCCTAAGAAAAAAATATGGAAATTATGAACATTCTAATTAAGATCAATGAAGCATTCACCTGGTTTCGTGCTGGACTGCATGTACCCTGGCTTAATGATATTTACCCTAGGCTTCAGTGGTTGAATTAAGTATGCACCTGGCTTCGTGCTCGACCGCATGTACCATGGCTTAGTGATATTTGCCCTAGTTTTCAATGGTTGAATTAAGATAAAGGGATAATTTTCATTGTCAAAGGATTGGAACTCAGGACCTGTCAATCTCGCGCGTGAACGCTTAACGTCTAGACCACTGAGCTGGCATCCAATGGTGTTAATGTCTAACTTCAATCAACACATGAAATTGAATAAACTGTCCACCATTGCCTTCAGTGAGTTACTATCTCAATACAGTCTCTAACATCCACTGCTACCTTGGGCTTAATCTTGTATAATGACTATTTTTCATTTTGTGGCATAATGCAATCTAGTCTCCTTGTATGCAAACTATGTGTATGTCTCAAATATATAATTTATATAGCGGAGGTTGATATTAATGTTCTGGATTGATCCGGATAAATTAGGTGAGAAGTTACTATTTCAGAGGACCAGTAAGAACTTAGACTTGATTCTAGGCTGCTCGTACTGGTTAATACGTCATTGATTTGGCACAGTGCCAAGGTCATATAAATCGGTGTTGTACTTAGCGATTTAGTCACGTGATATATGTTAATAGATCATAAGGCCATAACAAATATCATATTTCAAATGCTTATAAAAAGAGTATAAGCTTCATTTACATATTAAATTTTATTTTCTACTTAAGTTATTGTATAGAAATATGTCACTTTAAACGCTTGCACAAGTTGATTGAAAGAAAAATCTAGAGAGCGTAAATGTGGATGAGCATTGCTGAGGAGTCCCAAACTAAGACGAAACGGTAGTCCGGAGCTTCCAAGTTTTCCAAAGTGGTCTAGCTTTAATCAACTCATGAATTCAACGATTAAAATTTATTACAATCTCCATAAATCCCCATTATGATAGAAAAAAATTTAGAGCAGAGTAATCTACATATTTTTTTATAATTTATAATATATATTGAATTGATAAACAAGAAAAGAGAGTAAAAAACAAAACTATTTATAAGATGGTGATTGGAAGTAGTCAACAGGAAACCCTGGATCTAAGTCTCGTACTATTTGGCACTCATCAGCAAGGTATATCTCTAATCTTGAGGGAACTGATGCTCTCTAACAGATTCGATCTCATGTCACCCAGCTTCACAGTCAGAGACGTTAGCACTGACCTCCTGTAGGACTGAGATGTATCTATAATTGACTGATCACTAGGTGATGATCAATGTCATATATGTCAGGTCATTCTTAGTGCAGATCGTATCCTATCGATCAATCACCATCTTATCCCAATATAGTGCACTCAATGTCGATTCACCTAGGCTGGTAGCCACATTACAACTTGATTTATAAGATTCAATCTCCACTAAGAAAGATGTGACATACATGATATTGATCACTACCCAGTGATTAGTTCATTGTAAATACATATTCTTGATTGATTTCACAGGGATAAATTTGATTATAGAAATTGTATTTTTGATTTCTTTTGACTTACTTTTTATCGGATGGATACGACTTTTCCAAACGATATACATTCATATACAAACAAGCATAGGTACACTCACACTCACACCCACACCCACACGCACGCACACACACACACATAGATACTCAAATAACAAATATACATACTTGTTCATTGCCATAAAATGCATAAATTATTCTTTCTTTTTAATTTAACATAGCGTGACCAATATAATTTAGCTTATAAAAGAAAACGAACTAATAAAATAAACACATAAAAAATTAAATGCAAAAATTAAACTGAAAGGATATGGTTACAAGTTGATTGAAATGATTAAAAAAAAAGAAAAAATGAGAAGAAATTGATTTGGGATTCATTTTGAAAACAACGAATATAACTTCTTTTGAATAGTTGAAAGCATGAGTCAATTGAAGCGAGACCACCAAGGGAAAACCTGGAAGCACTGCTTGACGGCCTTTTTGTCCTATTGTGGGACTACTCAGTGGCAGTGATCATCCACGACCTCACGAGATTTCAACCCAGGACCTACCAGTCTTGCGTTAAAGCATTTAAACGATAGACCACTGAACTGGCCGGCATTCAATTGTGGTAATGTCTAAATTCAACTAATCCACGATGTTTGAGCAACCGTTCACCAATTGTCTTCAGTGTGTTGATATCTTTATAACAGATGGCTGAGGCACGTGTTACGTATGCACAACCACCGACTGCCCCGACGTGCAATGTTTTATGGTGTAGGAGTAGGTTGGAAGAAGGCTAGCGGCGGCTAGACCAAAACGTGACACAAATCCATGAAGTCACTGACAAGTGGACTGAACCATGTTGGTAGGTGTATACTACCTGGTCGGGATTCGCGAGATGATAGCAATCGATGGTTAGAGACATTGAATACCATGGCTCAAAATCGTTTGTATTTGCGCAGGTGCATCCACTGTTTGTGTTCTACCAAATTCTAATCTTCTGACTTCATGTCCCTATCTTTTTTCTCTTTCCAAATCTATTTCATTGGATCATACTCCTTCAATAACATCTTCAAACCCTAATATTTCACATAATACTTGTACTCCTACTACCTCTATCACTATGGAGTTTGAATCGACAACTGCACCTCTGTGCTAATGTGTTAAGGCAACTCGAACTGATGTACGTACGTACAAAGTCCTACGTTGTGAGTGTGACTAGTAAATCTTATTATTATCAGAAAGGGTTTTGCGGAGATTTAGTATTTTCATAGTTGAAAGTGTGAGTTAATTGAAGCTAGAACACCAAAGAAAACCTGGAAGCACTGCTTGACGGCCGTTTCGTCTTATTGTGGGACTCCTCAGTGACAGTGTGCATCCATGATCCCGCATTCGCGAGATTCAAACTCAGAACCTGCCAGTCTCGCTCCAGAGCACTCAACCGATAGACCACTGAGCCGGCATCCGATGGTGTTAATGTCTAACTTCAACCATCCCACGATGTTTGAGCAACCGTTCACCAATTGTCTTCAGTGAGTTCCTATCTCACAAGAGACGTGGTTTGAACTCCACTGATCACTTCTTCTCACTAGAACTTCAGGATTTACCCCTCAAAGTCAGTTTGCTATTCTACACAAACGACCTAATATTCATAATCTTCAAATATGACTACATTTTTCAAAAACCAATCATATCTGAATTTCAATACTACTATTATGGATAAAAATTAAATCTTTTTTTTCTTTTGTTTATCTTCTAGTTATCTAATTGGAATACTTCGAAAAAGGATGCAACTGTTAAAAAGTCATTTATATTAAGGTTAATTACACAACAATCAGATCAAAGTATAACTATTAAGACTGATAATGAAAATGTGATTACAACATCACCGACATCAGTGTTACCAATCAGTTGTAATTTATCAATTAACAGTCCAAATCCATTGACACTATCATCGACATCATCATCATTATCATCTTCCACATCACAAATCATTAATCAATCAAAGTTAAACTATTCTATAGGTTTAATGAATTCTCGTTTTTATAATCCAAATATTCATCATTCTATGGATTATGGACCCTATAGTCCAATATGTGTAAATACTACTAACACTATACCAGTAATATCAGGTAAGTTTCTTCCATCTTTTTTCATTGAAACTGTAGATTAATGTTCTAAACATCAACTAAAGTATGATGATTCTCTTTCAAAGAAACCTTTTCGTATAAAAATAATGAATTTCTGTGATAGCTGAAAAAAAGCAGATTTAAGGAGAGTAGAAACTAATCTGAGTAACTAGTCATTTTGAATTATGAAGACTTCGGCATCTGACAGGAAGCACGGAATACAATGGACATCTCAGAATCAATAAAATGATTTGTACTTCGCAGATGACCTAGCCCATCTATCTCATATACATGAACAAATATAGACGAAGACAGCAAATGTAGCAGCAGCCTCTGCATCAGTAGGTCTCAACATACACAAAAGGAAAAGCAAGGTCCTCAAACACAACACGAAGAACACCAACATAATCACAGTTGATGGCAAAACTCTGGAAGAGGTCGAAATATTCACGTATCTGGGAAACATCATTGATAAACAAAGAGGATTGGATGCAGGTGTAAAGGTGAGGATCGGCAAAGCAAGGGCAGCATTCCTACAATTAAAGAACATATGGAACTTAAAGCAACTCTCAACTAATTTCAAAGTGAGAATCTTCAATACGAACGTCAAGACAGTTCTACTGTACGGGGATGAAACATGGAGAACTACTACATCCATCGTGAAGAAGGTACAAGTATTTATAAACAGTTGTCTATGCAAATTACTTAACATTCATTGGCCGAATACCATCAGCAACAGAGTTTTATAGGAGAAGACAAACTAGCTTCCAGTTGAAGAGGAAATTAGGAAACGGCATTTGAAGTGGATAGGACTTACAATGCAAAAATCATCAAACTGCATCACGAGGAAAGCGCCTACCTGGAATCTTGAGGGGAAGCGGAAAAGAGGAAGGCCAAAGAACACATTATGCCAGATTGAATCAGATATGAAAAGGATGAATGTTAACTGGAAAGAACTGGAAAGGATTGCCCAGGAAAGGGTTGGATGTAGAATGCTATTTGGCCTATGTTCCTCAACGAGGGGTAACAGGCGTAAGTAAGTTTATATGCTAGCAAGTTCTTGTGATAGATCACAGTTTTTGGAATTTCAGAAATATAAATATACTTCAGATCTATACAGCTTGATTACTCAGTAATTAACAAAGTCATATTTTAGTAGTTCATAGTTCTAAATAATCAACCGATCAAGTTGTAATGCGGTCAGTAGTTTGTCGAATATTTTTTAAACTCTCTGAGCTAGATAGTTTGATCACTAGAGAATTTGTTTTCATTCTGGGTAAAATCATCAGCGCTTAATTCAAATAGAAGTGAGCATTTCCATTACTTAACAAGTAATTTATCAGTTTGTTCTGATGAAATTGTCTTTGACTGACTGTCTTCACGGTTTTCATCATCTTTATGTGCTCATTTCTTTCCGTTAGCTACATTTTTTCAGTCGACTAATGATCAAGTGAATGATCAATCAAATGTGTCTGGAGTTGTTTGTATGCAATAATATAAATAGTAGTATGTTTTTGGTACGATATAAAATTCTTAGCACAAAGTATCCTGACGATTGATATTGAAATCGTGTAGTGATACTCGGCAATTGTCTTGTAAATCATTTAACCAGGATTCTTAAATTATGATTACACCACAAATACGAAACTTGCTAATGCTTAGTAAGAATCGAAGACAGTCCAAATGGTTAATTAGTAATTGCCAGTTAAATAGTAACAGTTCAGGAATAGACATGTGAACAACGTTCATTCTATTCAATATATATTTGTCTGCTAGCCACTATGATATCTCTGATTGTACTTTCATTGTTAGTTATACAGTAAAAGGGTTGTAAAATTTTCACAAACGCTCATAACGCAAATAACTTGTTGAAATATTTAGATGACAGGAACAGGTAGACCTGATATTCAAGCAGACAGTCATATATATATTCTGTTTTTATCCCTTTGATTAAACAAGTTCCTTTTGAATAGTTGCTTACTTACTTACACCTGTTACCTCCAATGAAGCATAGGCCACCGACCAGCATTCTACAACCCACTCTTTCCTGAGCCTTCCTTTCTATTTCTATCTAATTTTTGTTTATTCTTCTCCTGTCTGTCTCCATTTCTCGGCGTAATATGCTCTTTGGTCTTCCTCTTTTCCTTTGACCTTCAGGATTCCATGTGAGGACTTGTCTTGTGACGCAATTGGGTGCTTTCCTCAATGTGTGTCCTATCAACTTACATTAAATTGAACTATTTACTTGTAGTGTATTTATCCATCCCCATTGTGGATCAATATACTTTTCAATTTTTTTCTCTAGACATAATGAATCACTATTAGTGACCCCAGTTACATAACAGGGAAATACTTTCTTTGTGTAAAGTTTACATCTTAGCCTATGTTGTATAAGACAGATCTTTCTAAGAGCAAATGTATGAAATTAAACACGGGAAACTATATACCGAATATTTACGCTGCGATGATATTTGCATGTACGAAGGTATTTAACCTCTTCTATCTTCTTGAGTTTCTCTTCTCTTTTTAAAAAAGGGATTCTGTAGTAAACAAGAACACTGATGGAGACAGTCGTAGGTATTTGAGCCCAAATTACAAACTCTCTTACTAAAATCAGATAACCACACAGTAAACAGTTAATTTGCAAATTATTAATCAATTGACTTAATTTTCACCATCCCTTCTGTAAACATCAGTCCATAGTCTCCGATCATTATTATCCATGCATTTTCACATCAATTGCGCTTCGTTCCCGTTCTTTCCTAATCAATCTTCTACTGAAATACATTCTATGCCTGCCCATCATCATATACTACTTACGTGGATATAAGTAGCTAACACCACAATTCCACCCGAATGACTTTATAATCATAATTTTAACTACTTTATTGATTTTATAGAGTTGAGATCATGAGTCAAATAAAGCTAGACCACCGAAGGAAAACCTAGAAGCACTGGATGGCCAAAGGCTCCGGGTGTGGCCCCCTAAGAAAACCAACTGCTTCGGTTTGGGCACCCGGGCAGTATCACAGCCCACACACACAAATAGTGTGGCGCATATGTACCTGGTGCCCTTTTGTACCAATATATATGTGTTTAAATAAATAAATAAATAAATAAATAAATAAATAAATGGATGGCCAACTCGTCCTATTACGGGACTCCTCAGCAGTACGCATCCACGATCTCGCACTCGCGAGATTCCAACCCAGGACCTACCAATCTCGCGTCAGATCACTTAACCGATAGACCACTGATATTGCCGGTATCCAATGGTGTTAATATCTAACTTCAACCAATCCACAAAATTGAGCAATCATTCACCGATGTCTCCAGTGAGTTGATATCTTCCAATAGACCTGGTTCAACTCCACTGGTTACTGCTTCTCATTAAAACTCCAGGAAATACCTCATGGAGCCAGTCACTAGTGAGCATATGATCTCAACTCTATAAAATTACTAAAATGTCCACAAAACCCATTTTTGATACTTTATTGATTATTAAAAATTCTCATTGATAATTGAATAATTTGTTTGTTTGTTTGTTTTTTTCTTTCAATTTAGATGATTATCAATCTTTAGATTGTTGGGATCATTTACCGGTGGCACATTATTCAAATCAATTTAAACAAGATAATTCAATAAATTTAAATCTACCGCAATTTTATATGAAACAATTAAAACAACCAATTATAGAGAATCATTCAAATTTAAATTTTATAAATAAAACTAAATCATCATCAACATCAACAACAACAACAACATCAGTATTACATAATAAACAAAAAGATTTAATAAATTCTAATTGGACACCACATAATACTCATATATTAATGAGTAGTACTAATAGTAGTTATAGTAATAGTAGTAGTAATCATATTCATAATAATACTAATAATAGTAGTATTATATCAAAGGATGATATACATCAGAATTCCAAATTAAATCAACAGAATGTTTGTAAAAATAAAGAACATTCACAAGCTTATACAGGATTAGTTAAATCTACTTTTGTATAAAAAAAAAAGAAACAATGGAACGTGTTAGTTACCAAGTAGGCTATATAATAATAATAATAATAATAATAATAATAATAATAATAATAATAATAATAATACTATTATGAATATAGATAGAACAAAGTACCTTGACTAAATGGAACTAAATCTCTTTCGATATTTGTTTCTTGGTGGTTTTAATGAATTGAAATTCTTTCTTCCTTAGCATACTACTCACATACACACACATATGCACACACACACACACATGGCAACATATATTTTATTTGTAATTAAAAAGAGAAAAATATAATGCTAAATGATCATTAGTATGATTTATTATTTAAAACAATCGGTTTTTTATCTTAATGAAGAGAAGAATATTATTTAAATGGTTGGAAATAGTTGATACATCACCAAGACGTATCTGTAATCTTGTATAAACTATAAAACTAAATGATGCGGCTTCGTATACCATAGTGATTATCAATTTCTTAAAGTTTATTTGAAGTAAATGTTGCTGACAAGTGTAAACTAACACGAAATGACTTTCAATTATATAACATTTAATTATAGACCATTCAATAATGAATTGGATAGCTCACCGACTCGTTTGAAGTAAAGACCGGTGTTAGGCAAAGTTGCTTACTCTTACCTATTCTCATTCGCCTGGTGATCAACTGGATCATGACGACGTCAACATCTGGATGAAAGCACTGGATACAATGGACAGCTGAGATGCAGCTGGATGATTTAGACTTCGTAGATGATCTGGCTCTTCTATCACACACGCAACAACAAATGCAAGAGAAGACAACCAGTGTAGCAGCAACCTCAGCAGCAGTAGGTCTCAACATACACAAAGGGAGAAGCAAGACTCTTCTATACAGCACAACATGCACCAAAATAATCATGCTTGATGGAGGAGCTTTGGAGGATGTGAAAAGCTTTACATATCTGGGCAGCATCATTGATGAACACGGTGGATCAGATGCAGATGTGAAGACGCGAATAGGCAAAGCAAGAGCAGTATATTTACAACTGAAGAACATCTGGAACTCAAAACAATTGTCAAACAACACCAAGATTAGAATTTTCAATACAAATGTCAAGACAGTTCTACTGTATGGGGCGGAGACGTGGAGAACTATGAAAGCCATCATCCAGAAGATACAAATGTTTATTAACAGTTGTCTACGCAAGATACTTCGATTCCGTTGGCCAGACACTATCAGCAACATCCTACTGTGGGAGAGAACAAACCAGACTTCTATCCAAAGTTTGTGCTGATGATGTCGTACAGAAGGACGATGAAAACTCCACAACCAACCCATCCAGCTCAGAGGATAAAACTCCATCAAAACCAGATTCCAGGGGAGGAAGAAATCAGAAAGAAGCGCTGGAAGTGGATAGGACACACATTGAGTAAATCACCCAACTGTGTCACAAGACAAGCTCCCATATGGAATCCTGAAAGCCAAAGGAGAAGAGGAAGACCAAAGGACACATTACACCGAGAAATGGAGACAGACATGAGAAGAATGAACAACAACTGGTTAGAACTAGAAACGAAGACTCAGGACAGAGTGGGTCGGAGTATGCTCGTCGGGGACCTGTACTCCATTGAGCGTACCAGGCGTAAATAAAAAGTAAGATCTTAATGATGGATCAGTTAGAATGACAAATATATCATAATTTGATTGATAAGACCAGATCAGCACTAAAAGATCAGATAAACATAACATTGATCATTACTCAGTAACCGATCAATAAACAGTTATGTTAGTTTTTGATCAGAAAAATTATTCCATCAAAAGTAACATCTTTACAAATCGATAAAATATACTATTCAATTACATAAATAATAATAATTTTCAGTAACGTTTAATAAACAAAGAACGCTAGAACATCTGTGTTGGTTCTAATGATGTAAACTCGTCAGATAATACTTTTGTTTAATAATATTCACTTACACATCTGTTAACAAAATGGTTAGATAAACAGTTTTACTCTTTAACGATTCTGTCTGCAATCGATTGGAAAGTAAAAGTTCAAATTTTGTGGACTTTATTCGTGTTTTCTCAAATTCACTGTGTTGATAAGCAGAGTTGCTTAAAATTTAATCTAATAGTAAGCTAGACCATCATTGAAAATGTAGAAGCCATGGATGGCCGTTTCGTCCTGGTGTGGGGCTCCTCAGCAGTGCGCATTCATGATCTTACAAGTGGGATTCGAACCCAGAACTTGCAGTTTCGCGGCTAACGTTAAACCTCTAGACCACTGAGCCAGGATCCAACACTGTTAATGTCTAACTTCAACTAATCCACTGAATTGTGCCACCGTCGACCACTACTGGAAGTCCCATACTAAGACAAAACGGTCTTCCAGTGCATCTAGGTTTTCCATGATGGTCTAGCTTTAATCAACTCATGAACTCAACTACTAAATTACTACAATCTCCACAGAACCCCCTTTCTGATAAAACTTAATTATCAAGTATTATAAAAATTGTAATGAGATCAACTTGGATTTTGCAGTAGGATAAGGAAAATAAATCAAGTCTAAAAAAAATTCATAGAATCACTTTAACGCATATCTTCATATATTCTCCAGAAGCTCATTATCTGACACTGATAGTTGTCTACAAAAATCAAGGATTAATTAACTAAAACAATAAAGCGTTTCATAAGTTATACTATCTTTGTCCTTTGACGGAACCCTCCACTTCTTCAAATCATCTGGATACAGAAGAACAAACACAATCAACAAATTAGGAAAATTGTTTGTGGACAACATCACTACCACTAGTCGGAACATTTTTCAACTAAGTATATACGTATTAAATTTATTCTGTACACTTTACCATCATCTAACTATGAAGCATTTTATTTTCAAATGTAAACTCTCCCAAGCTCCAATAACGTTTGATGTAGACAACAATCTGGTACATGAGATGTTACCGCAGATTTTGTCGAACTAATCAGTGACCTAATAGCTTATGAAGTTCATATTCATATTTTCTACCTTACTGAAAAGCAGAGATGGGTGTATAGAGGTGGCTAAGTGACTAAAGTACTTACCTCTTAATCATTAGTTCATAGATCTAAACTCCAATCCGTTCAATTTGATTTGAACAGTGAAACCTGATGTGTGGGCTAGAATGACAATGATTGGTTGTCTCGATGAGTCAGACATTAGATAGGATGACAGGTGTTATGTGTTATATATATATTTCCCTATCCTTATTATGTATTGACTGTTCCTTGTTGATGGACACTTATTGGTTGACTGTTCCTTGTGTCGGATTTTGGTGTGAAATATATTGACGTTATAGTCAGGCTAATCTCGTGTTCTTGATCTGAGTTCTATTGAAGTCCTGTAGAATAGACACTGGGTGGGAATCTAGTGTAGATATTCGTCTAAGATAAATTAATGTCCCACATACGTGTGAGAAGTGAAAGGACTGTTATAACCAGAAACCCCCAGCGTTATAATCAGCATCCTCTCTTTTACGTTTATAACAATTGGCGACGGCATACTTACGTTTATAACAAAACCTTACCATTCGCATTCATAGAAACAGTTTTATTTATAGATGAGTACATAAAAGTTGTAATAGGGATGTGAATATTTTAGTTAAACAAAGATACCTTCACATAAGACAATGTTGTTTTCGTAAAGTATTGAACTTTTTCCTAACTATTTGACTCCCTCCCAACTAACTATGCAGTCTAATTTAATTACTGAACTAATTTTCAGTCAGTCACAACGTAGAACTTCGTACGTACGTACATCAGATCGAGTTACCATAACACATTAACACAGAGATGCAGTTGTCGATTCAAATCTCATAGTGGTAGAAGTAGTAAGAGTATAAGCAGTAATCGGAAAGACTAGGGTTTGGAGATTTTATTCGAGTAGTATAATCCAGTGAAATAAATTTGGAAAGAGAAAAAGATAGAGATCTGAAGAATTCAGATTAGTATTTGGGAGAACACAAAGAGTGGATGCACCTTCACCATTGCGAACGATTTTGGGCCATATCACTCAAGGTTTCTAACCATCGGTTGCTATCATCTTGCGGATCCCAACCAGATAGTCTAAAACCGTTTTTAGTATTCCTCTTGTCGTTTATTTACTTCTCATTAGATAACCAAAAGGTGAAAGTATTTATAAAATGATCAGTCAATTAATAAAGTCCTGATCAGGCATATACATACATCAATGTTTGATCCGATTATTTTAGCGATCAAAAAACGTGAATTATTTAAAATGTTAAAGATATCAAACTATAATTAGCAGAGATTGAGTGTAAAATTTAACCTCAATAGTTCATTGTATTAAATCGATGTAAAACTTTTGTATATGCTAGGAATATACATGTAATGTATATCAAACAAATAAATAGGTTATAAGCAAAGATGGATAGTGACTAGCAGTGGAATCCAGGACGCACGTTTCGTCCTATTTCGGATTCGTCAGCTGGATGTACCTGCATCTCAGAGTTGATGTTCACTCTGGGACTCGAACCCAGTAGCTTTCGCTTCAAACGCCATCGCGATATTCACTCAGATACTTAGTCCGGATAGCCACTTGCTTGTGCAATGGGGTGAAGTTTAAATTCACTTAGTACTGTTTGTTTGAATCTTCCCATCGATGCGTTATGACTGCAATTGGTCAGTCTCTAATTGGCATATGTGTTAACTGTGCGTATTGCCTCAATATAGCCTTAATTCACAAGCATTGTAAGCAAAGATGGATAATGGCTAATAGGTTATTTTGAACATGTTAAAAATAGTTTATCCTGAACTTGACCGATTGTAGATCTGATTTACAGCTATTATTAAATGCTTACGATGATATGTATGTAAATAATGTTAGTTAAATTGTATATTCCTCTCCCATTACCTAATTCTTAAACCACCCATTCACTCACACATTTCCGCTCACTTGATTCTTTTAAATTATGTGAACTTTTCAAATTCTATTCAATTATTACGTAACCCATCCTATTTCTCTTTAATTCCATGAACCCTTTATTACCTCTAAAATTATCACACAATTTATCTTATCTGTCTCGGAACACCACTCAAATATTACACCATCCATCCTTTATGTTGCCTTCATTCTAATATGTTAAACCTCTGACCTGTTCCTGCACAGATGGTTTTCTCAGAGGACCACACCCGGAGCCTTCGACATGAAGATCTGATCCACAAGGCAGTGGAGCACCGTAAGGAGATGCAGTCCCATACGCCATTTATTTCCTCAGGATACTGGAGCCCATTTACAACATTGGTTTGGAATCAGGGTTTTCCAAATCCCCTAGTTGGACTTTTCGTGTCCACCAACCCTGTTAAAGCGCCGGACATTCGCTTTTCGTCCTCTCAATTTCGTAAACAACAGTAATGGCATGAAAAGGCAGTGAGTTGGACTTCTTTCGCAGTGGCTGTATACGCGTGACTATGTGAGAGCATTTCGAGAGAGAGAGCTGACTTTCCCCACTCTCGGTCGTACCAGGTAATTTGGGAGCATCTATTTAATTACCATTTCATGTCTTCAATGGTTACGACCAATTTTGTTGTTGTATTCATTGGATTATTCTGGTTAGTGTTTTCTAGCGAGTTGGTTTTCTACGGAATGAAGACGCTAACCCCATGCCCATCCCTCCTCCTTTATCTGGGCTTGGGACCGACAATATTCCTAGGAGGGGCTACAGGTAGATTATTCAAGTAAAACTCTAGAATTAACAAATTTATTTGACAATGATATCAACTATACGTCTGAATGTAAACATCAATATACATTTATAATTTCAAAAACTAATGTACAAAAAAGAAAAGAAAAAAGAAGTATAATTAGAAGTATCATTTACATTTCTTCTTTGAATAACAGAAGAATTAGTTTGTTTTTGGTTCCTCTGAGAGAAGAAAACACGTAAACGAACCGATGAACACAATACTTCATAACTAAATTGTATTGTATGTATATATATGGGTATAATAACAATCTTCTCAATGATATACTTCTATAACTTCGTAACAAATACAAAATAGTTTCTACGCCCCTTCCGCCCACATACACCTATACACTTTCATACCTTCATTTCTGATCTAATCCAATCGAACTTGATAATGAACCAGTATTTATCGATGATGAGATTGATGAAGAAGATGATTCAGATGATGATGTTGACAATGATGACGCTGCTGCTGCTGCTGATGATGATGATGATGAGGAGGATAAAATAAGTTGTTCAAGTATTTTGTTAACAGTAGGAGGATTAAATTTATTAGAATTATTGTAACATTTTGAATTAGTTATTAAATGCATCACCAACTTTTTTAAACTTTTCTTATTACCATTTTTATATTGTCTGACCTAAAGAAGAAAGAAGAAATAATAAGAGTAAATCATATAACAGAGATATTACACATAAGAGGAACACCTTAGAAGAGTACACATACAGGCACACACACACACACATACACAGAACCGACGTATCGATAAACGAAGCTTCTTTTAAAAGAAAAAAAAGAAAGAAAGCAACAATAGAAGAGATTAAGTAAGAGATATAAAAGAAATATATAGATCAAATACATTTCAACAAACTAATATTAACACATATACACGAATTAAATGATCAGCTTAAAATGGATTAAATTAGGTATTATGAAAGAGGATTAACGGATCACATATATGAAGGGAGGGAGGTAAGATCTGAATAAAAATGGTAATCATTATAAAAAGGATGAGTAAATTGTCTATATTAAGTATTATATATCTATATGTATATATTCCATACAGAAGTAAACAATATTAAGCTTTAAATATTGAATATAAATTAGTTAATGAACTCTCTTTTAAAACTTATTACTTATCAATGTACATTCATTTCTGAACAAAAAATTTCAACCAATCCACGAAGTTGAGCAACCGTTCACCAATTGTCTTCAGTGAGTTGATATCGTTATAACAGATTTGGTAGAACTCTATTGGTCACTGCTTCCCACTAGAACTCAAGGATATATCTCTTGAAGTCAGTCACTAGTGAGCATATGATTATAGATTAGAAGGGGTTTTGTGGAGCTCTATCAAGTCTGTTGTAGAGATATCAACTCACTGAAGATAATTGGTGAACGGTTGCTCAAACATCGTGGATTGATTGAAGTTAGACATTAACACCGTTGGATGCCGGCCAGATCAATGGTCAATCGGTTAATTGCTCTGGCGCGAGACTGGTAGGTTCTGGGTTTGAATCTCGCGAGGTAGGATTGTGGATGCGCACTGCTGAGGAATACCGTAATAGGATGAAACGTCCGTCCAGTGCTTGTAAGTTTTCCATGATGGTCTAGCTTCAATTGACTCATGATTTCAACTATGAAAATAATAAATTCTCCACAAAACCCCTTCGGACCAAAAAATTTCAGCTTTGAGAACTTTAGGTTTTCTAATCAAGACTTCCTTCATATTTATCACTGAAATATAGTGCTCTCAAACAGTATCTGATTTTGAATTAAATATTCAAAACTATTGAATCTATCGGTGTGACTGAGAAACTAAGAGAGGAAGTGGTTGTCATATATATGCTTTGGATACTCTAACAAATAATAAAGTTGAAGACGGTGTCCTGAGTAGTTTACCAGAATCGGTTTGGATATCAATCAACACCCTGAATCATAGTCTACTCCTAGGATGTATATACAGAACTCCTGATAGTTGTGCTCACTCGATAAAATACAGCAAGAAGTGACATACAATATCTATAAATCTTTTGTTTCATAACAAGAAGTCAAACAGTATGCAATGCATTGTATTGTCCTTCTAAACTTCTAATCATAATTCATTCATTAGGTCAGTATTATTACTTCTATTAGTCAATGTACATTATGATAGAAATGATCTTAAAAATATAAAACTATTATCAAACCTATAAAAGTTAGCTCTCCAATACAGAAAAGAAACAACCATGTGCTCACTAATGACAAGCTTCGTGAGGTAAATCTCGGAGTTCTAGTGAGAAACTGTAACCAGTGGAGCTAATCCGTGTCAGATAGAGACAAGTATCTACCTCAGACAATGGAAGATAGTCACGCGATTTCGTGGATTGGTAGAAGTTAAACATTAACACCGTTGGATGCTGACTCAGTGGTATGGAGGTCAAGCGTTCGCGTGCGGAACTGAAGACCATGGGTTCGCATCTCACATGCAGGATCATGTATGCGCACTGCTGAGGAATCCCATACTAGAACGAAACCATCGTCCAATGCTTCTAGGTTTTTAATGGTGGTTTAATATCGATCGATTCATGATCTCAATAAATGAATAAATCCAAGTATTAAAACAACCAAAAAAAACATGGAAAGAAGTTAGATAAATGTTATGCTCACTAAAAAAACATGATGCTATTAGATCCAATTTAGTGAAATGTCTTGATAGGATACTATTAAAGAGACCTAAACCTAAGCGGGAACAACTGGATATGTCCTTCAGACTAACAATTGTTTTTGAGATGGTAGAGAAGATTTATAGGTTACGTGGGTGATTTTGATATAGGTTTGTTCTCTGAGCTGGATGGTTTGGTCGTGGAACTTTCATCGTCCGTAAAAACTTCGGGTAGAAGTGAAGTGTTGTTTTTTCAGGTAACTTCAAATTTGTGTTAAAAAATATTTATGAAACTTAAATAAAATAAACTAAGAGAAAAGGTGTTAAACCTACCAGTTTAGGATAATCATTAATTAACTTAACACATTGAATTTTAATTTGATCTGGATCTTGAATTAAAATTAGATCATGTTTGACAGCTAACTCATGAACTGAAAAATATGTACTTTCATCATTGTGAATAATTAGACTCAATAGCTAAGACCAAAAAGAGATAAAGAGAGAACAATATATTGAAATATAGCAAAACAAAATCGATAAACCTTTTTCCATAGGGACATAATATAATTAATCAATGCTGACTTAAAAAGAAATGATACAGTATTGTGGTGCACGCTACTTATGTCAACAGACATTTTGACGGAGAGCGTGGCATAGACTGCGGTAAAAAAATGGACCGATGAGAACCACCACAAGAGCGACTGTTTAAAGGGGGTACGAATATGGTATATGCTACTTATGTCGACAAGCATAAGTAGTATGTAACACAAATCAAGAATGAGATACCTGATAGTAGAAGGTCGGGAAGACCAAGTCGAAGAGAATGGGAACAGAGAGTAATAGTTATGAATAATGTAGGAACGATGACGTTTGAGACAACTGTTGGGGGATTCGCAAATGAAGTACTGAACGTATCGCTTTATTAAAATATATTGGTAGTCTCCAACTGTGTTCTCATTCACCACTCTTATTGTAAACTGATTTAATCAACAAAGCCATTCGTCAAAAAAAACATAGTACCCAACTTCAGTCAATTTATGGATTATTCTTCATAAGTGATTCATTCTATTACGACTGCACAATCGAAATTGCATAAGGATCGTGGGTAACATAAAATGTATTCAGTTCACACCAAAACTTAAAGAATTTCGTTTCAGCCCAATATAGTCCCAATGTAGTAAGGAATCTTAAACTAGAATGTAACGTTTGTTCATTCCTTCTTGAGAATAAGTTACAGTGATAATTAAAACAAACACAGTTCTCATTTTGTCTCAACTGAAACAATTAAGAAGATATATGACCAATAACACATGTGCCCCCGAATGCTTTGGTATGGCCGAGAGTGGAGAGAGTCCGCTCTCACTCTCCAAATGCTCTCACATGGCCACAAGTATATAGACTCTGTCAATGAAGTCCTACTCACTGCCTTCTCGCACCACCAGTGTTGTTTATGAAATTGAGAGGACAAAAAGTGAATGTACGGCGCTTTAACCGGGTCGGTGGACACGGAAAATTCACCTAGGGGATTTGGAAAACCCTGATTCCAAACCAATGGTGAACATGGGCCCCAGTATCATGAGGGAACAAATGGTGTATGAATCAATCGTTGATCACCAGCTACCACGGGACTGCCCTGTGGATCAGACCTTTAGGTCAAAGGCTCCGGTTGTGGCTCCCTAAGAAAATCACCTGTTTCAGTTTGGGCACGTGGGCAGTATCACAGTCCTCACACAAATGAAATGAGATTTAAATGGCGCTTACATATATCTGGTGCATCCTTGTACCAATATTTACGTGTTTAAATAAATAAGTAAAACACGTTCTTCAAAACAGCCCGAATCTTTTAAATTCTCTTTTGATCCGTCTTAACACTAGTGAACTAAAAGTCACTATTCAAATAAAAAGTAATACAGATATTTATTTATTACTTAATTCATTGCTTCCAGTATTACGTTTTCGTACATACTAATTACACTACTTAAATTTATTAATGAGTAACTTCACTAATATTGTAACATTTCTCATTGTCTTTCAATCTCCTTCTTTATGTTGATGATTGAATTTTTTTCGTCATAAAGTGATTCGTCTACTTTGAAATCCAGTATCTAATTCTCATTTCGATTAAATGCTGATACTCATGCTTGAAACAACCGCATGTTGTTTTGTGATTGATGAAACTTGTAATCGAAGTTATCGACCATGTTGTGCGTGTACTCCAGCTTGTCCGTTTTGATGATGATGAACATATCGTTCACATAAGGAATATACATTTCTGACTTGATCTCCAGTAGAACCGAGACTTCTAGTCTCTGGATCACTGCTTCTGCAATAAATCCTCATATTAGTGTTCCTTTCGTTTCATCGTAGATTTTATTGTTGGATTGAAAAATATGTTTATTTATTTATTTAATCACATACATATTGGTACAAAGGGAACCGGATACATATGCGCCACATAAAATAATGAGAATAGGAGGGGAGAGGGGGAAGATGCGTATGTAGAGAAGAAGGAAAAAAAAGAAGAGTAATGATGGCGGAAGTGAAATGTACAACCAGAAGAGCTCTCTCAGTTAGGAAAGTTATAGCCACTCTTTATGCAGAAAGTAGAAGAAGGTTACAGCAGGATCGCCACTGGCTTCTATTCTGAGCCATATCTGATAACGTCTCTAGCCACTGTGTTGCACCATCTCTCGGACCCCAGCCAGGGAGTCGTGAAGGACCAACAGAAGCTAGCCCTTTACAGCTCTCTTTCATACCACGACACCATGTCATACACTGACCTCCTCTCCGCTTTCTCCAACCAGTCCCAGAGTCGGCAAATAATGCACGACGTGGAAGTCTCTGGGACGACATTCGTAGAACATGTCCAAGCCACCGAAGTCGGTGTTTCAAGATGGTGACACCAATTGAATTATCGTCTCTGCGCCCGAACACACGATGCCGAACCTCTGCATTACTAACATGGTGTTGCCACTGAATGTCAGCAATCCTTCGGAGACAACGATGATCGAACACAGAGAGACGTCTAACATCCTCAACTCGGAAAGTCCAGGTTTCACAAGCATAGAGCAAAACTGCTCTCACCGACGCGTTGTAGATCCGACCTTTTACAGCCAGACTAACATGACGAAGGCACCAAAGATGGCCCAGATTGGCATAAGCCGATCTGGCTTTCCTTATACGTGCATCAATCTCATTACTCACGCCACCACCAGCACTTATATAGCTGCCTAGATACACGAACTTCTTAACTACTTCAATTTGCTCACCATCCAGGGTGAGTACAGGATGAGAATCCTACCAGTCTTGTAGGAGTACCTTGCATTTCTCAGGTGCAAAGCACATGCCGTACCTGCGGACACTGATTGCCAACTGATTAAGTGCGGATTGCATGCCTTGGGCATTATCGCACAGTAAGACAACATCATCCGCATACTCGAGGTCGAGAAGTCGTTCTTCAGGCAACATATCCACACCGCCATTACTTACATCCGTCAGAGCTGTTTCCAGGATGTCGTCGATGGCAAAGTTGAAGAGGAATGATGAGATTGGGCAACCCTGCCTAACCCCGCTGCTCGAATGGAACAAGGGAGAAAGGTGGTTGTATGCCCTCACTCTGCCTAAGGTGTTCGTATACAGGGCCTTTAAGATGTTAATGAACTTCTCAGGCACACCCTTCTTCAATAGATAATCCCAGAGAACAGTCCTGTCCAACGAATCGAAGGCAGCCCTGATATCAAGAAACACTACGATTGTTGGCCTGCGATAAGTATGACGATGTCCTAACATTTGGCGGAGGGTGAAGATGTGGTCAATGCATCCTCGACCAGAACGAAAACCAGCCTGCTCCTCGCGAGTCAATCGTTCTCGGGTTTTAAACAACCTACGAAGAATGACAGAAGCCAATAGTTTGGACGCGATCGGAAGTAGACTTATCCCCCGATAGTTATTGCAGGAACAACGTGAACCGTTTTTGAAGATAGGGACGACTATCGACTCATTCCATAATGATGGAACACTTTCTGACTCCCAAACCTTTGCAAACAACACAGTCAGTTCCTTAGTCAGAAGGTCACCACCATCTTTAAAAAGAGCCAGTTGAACTGCCCTTCGAAAAATTCCGCCCATAGTCCAAGACGTCGAGATGTTAGTGATTGGCATCCCGTCATCCTCGTAGATTGTTTCACTCACACCAGACTTCTTGCTACCAGTGGCTCGGATGAGTTGGAAGAGCTTCCGGCAGTTACCAGATGCAGCTGCTGCTTCCATCTCATTAGCACGCTCCGACCAAGCGCGTAAATAGGATTGTCAGTACAAGTCATCATTTCATATATTTGTGTGAGAGCTACGATACAGCCCGGGTGCCTAAACCGAAACAGGTGATTTTCTTAGGGGGCAACACCCCAAGCCTTTGACCTAAAAGTCTAACCCACAAGGCGGTGGAGCATCGTGAGGAGATGCAGTCACATGGTAGCCGGTGACCAACAATTGATTGACACGCCATTTGTTCCCTCAGGATACTAAAGCCAGTCCATGTTCACCATTGGTTTGGAATCAGGGTTTTCCAACTTCCCTAGGTGGACTTTCTGCGTCCACCAACCGGGTTATAGCGCCGGACATTAGCTTTTCGTTCTCTCAATTTCGTAAACAACACCCGTGGTGTGGGAAGGCAGTGAGTAGGACTTTCTTGACAGAGGCTATATACGTGTGGCCATGTGAGAGCATTTGGAGAGGGAGAGCGGACTCTCCCCACTCTCGGCCGTACCAGGGAATTTGGGGGTAATAGTATTAAATGTTAATGAAAAATTTTTTTTAAAAGAACGAATCCACAACTCAATTATTCAAAGTAATTTACTGAAAAATCTAACTTACTTCAACTGCTGTTGATCCAAAAACTTGTCCAGTTAAATTCATTTGTATAAATTCAGCCAGTTGTTCAACTTTAGGAAGACTAAATTTTGATTTTTAAAAAAAAGTTTATTTATCCACATAAAATAAACTGAGAATATGTTAATGAATATCAGCAATTAAGTTAAGTAAAATTAAGAACTAAATATGAATAGTTGAAACCAAGAGTCAATTGAAGCTAGACCACCATGGAAAACCTGGAAGTACTGCTTGACGGCCGTTTCGTTCTATTATAGGACTCCTCTTAGACAATAACACCGATGGATGACGGTTCAGTGGTCTATCGGTTAAGTGCTTTGGCGCGAGACTGATAGGTCCTGGGTTCGAATCTCGCGAATGCGGGATCATGGATGCGCACTACTGAGGAGCCCTGTAATAGGAAGAAACGACCGTCCAGTGCCTCCAGGTTTTCGATGTTGGTCTAGCTTCAATTGATTCATGATTTCAACTATGAAAATACTGAAATCACAAAACCGATTCTGATAAATATGAATAAACTGTGTTATTTCAGTAAGCTGAGTGCTGAGGTAAATAACTACTAGCCGTTTTATGGCCTTTATTTTGCATATGAAATGCATTTGTGTATGAGCTGGAATACGAACTGGGTTCCCCCATACTAAAGAAGGTGGTTTTCTGAGAAAACTCACCCCTGAACCTTTGACCTAAACGTCTAATCAACAGAATATAGTGGCGCAACGTCAGAAGATGCGGTTTTATGTGAAATCAGTGTTCCTGACATTTGTTCTATCTGGATCCCAGAGCCAATATATACCACTTGTTCGGGGTCAAGGTTTTTCAACTCTCCGAGGCTGACTCTCCACGTCCACTGACTCAGCTTAGATACCAGATATAGCTATTCGCCCTTTCACATTTGCGAAAATCTGCCAAGCAAAAGCAGTTAGAAGACCCTCCCTGGTTGAGGTTTTAAACACATGACCATATGAGAGTATTCTGATAGAGAGAGTGGACGCTTCTATCATTTGTCCATAAAAAGTCATTTATGGATGCCTTCATTTATATCTTTGATTATCCTTCCAATGACAAACAAGTAACTATTAATTATACTATTTTTATTGAATATTTTGTACATAAATAGTGTAAATCACTAAAAATGTACAAATTTATCCATTCCGTTTCTAGTTGTACTATCTGTGTGAAAGTTAATTATACTGAACCAGTTGCCCAAACGAAAACAGATGGTATGAAACTCGAATCTGAGACCGATTGATTGAAAATCAGGTTCTTCATTCACAAATTCATTTGGTTTTACGTATATCAGTAGGGCTTTAATTATTTGAAATATACATTGGTATTTCTAGTAAGTTACTTAAATTTTCTACCACACCGAATTCAATCTTCAATACGAACCCAAAGACAGTCCTATTATACGGAGTTGAAACTTCGAGAACTACCGCAACCATTGTCAAAAAGGCACAAGTATTTATAAATACTTGTCTACGCAAAATTTATTTATTTAAACACATATATATTGGTACAAAGGGGCACCAGATAAATATGCGCCACACAAGTCTCAGTTGATTTGTGTGACGGTTGTGATACTGCCCACGTGCCCAAACTGAAACAGGTGGATTTCTGAGGAGGCCACATCCTGAGCCTTTGGCCTAAAGATCTAATCCGCAAGGCAGTGGAGCATCGTGAAGAGATGCAGTTCCATAGTAACCGGTGACCAACGATTGTTTCATACGTCATTTGTTCACTCAGGATACTGGAGTCCATGAGCACCATTGGTTTGGAATGAGGGTTTTCCAACTCCCCTAGATGAACTATCCGTGTCCACCAATCTGGTTAAAGCGCCGAACATTGGCTTTTCATCCTCTCAATGTCGTAAACAACGCCCGTGGTGCAAGAATGCAGTAAGTAGGACTTCCCTAACAGAGGCTATATACACATGGCCATGTTAGAGCATTTCGAGAAAGAGTGAGAGTGGACTCTCCCCACCTCTCAACCGTACCAGGGCATTTGGAGACGGGCAATTAATTAAGTAATTATACATCATTATAACAATCATTTAAATGAAATAATTAACTTACCGTTTTACAGTTTTATTTTTATTTAAACCATATATATAACCAGTAATCCAAAAACTTAATTCTTTAGCATAAATTAAAACATTGAATTGTTCCATTTGATTACTATAAATCTCAATTAAGTAGTTTAATGTTAATTCATATAATTGACATAATTCATTATGTTCAATTAAAACAATTACACGATTTAATAATAAACCATGTTCAATTAAAAATATTTGTTTTTTATATTCAGGTAAATTCATTGACCAATTTATAGAATTTAAATGATATTTTTCTTTAATACATTGTATACAAACTTGATTATTGGATGGTGATGATGACGATGATGCGGATGATAATGAAGATGATGATGACGACGATGGCGATGATGATGCGGATGATAATGTAGATGATGACGATGATGCGGATCCGGATGATGATTGAGATGAACATAATGAACAATTTGATAAAATTTTAATAGAAGGTAAATTCGGTTCAGGAATATAACGATAATCTTGAGCTAATTCTTTATCTCTCATTCGTAAAGTTACACTAGAATCATAATCGTTATTGTTATGATGATGATGATGATGATGATAGGAGTGAAAAGAAAAGAAGAACAATTAACAAGTGAAAATATGATGATCAACTAATAAGATAATATACATTGAGAAAGATTAGTATTTGTGAACAAAAATGAAAAAAATTCAACTTAGCGACGTTAGTCACATTACTTATACATAAGTAAACAACTAACTAATCAGATGGTGGGGGGGTTGTTTGTGAAGATTTTTAGTAATTTTTAGATATAGTTGAAATCATGAGTCAATCGAAGCTAGACCACCATCAGTGGTCTATCGGTTAAGTGCTTGCGCGCGAGACTGCTAGGTCCTGTATTCGAATCTCGCGAGGTGGGAACGTGGATGCGCACTGCTACTGAGGAGTCCAACAATATAATTGAACATTATATTGTATAGATGAATAATATAAACTTTTATATCTACTCATTATTTATTTAGTAATTTAACTTAAATTGATACTAACTTAGCAACTGAAATTACTTATATACATTGTTATACTAACATATATCGAATTTAAATGGGGGTTTTCTGTGGAGATTTTTAGTAATTTTCTATATATGGTTGAAATCATGAGTCAATTGAAGCTAGACCACCATGGAAAACCTAGAAGCACTGCTTGACGGCCGTTTCGTACTATTGTGGGACTCTTCAGTGGCAGTGCGCATCCACAATCCTACCTCGCGAGATTCCAACCCAGTGACAAGCGGGATCGTGGATGCGCACCGTTGAGGAGTCCCACAATAGGATGAAACGGCCTTAAAGCAGTGCTTCCAGGTTTTCCATGGTGGTCTAGCTTCAATTGACTTATGATTTCAACTACATATAATCAGATTGTAGATTAAACGTCAACCACTTTGACCTCAGTACGATTTGATTTTTATTCGACTATCAATAAAACTGATCACAGTAGCTCAGTCATATATATTTTCTCAATCTAATTTTCAGTCTTGATTCTAACTTCATTTTATACTTCTGGAACCACATTTTTTTTTAAATTCCATTACTTTTCATCTAATATATTTCTCACTTCACTGATGATTATAGAGTATGGCTAGTTGAATCAATGTATGATTGTATTAACTCTCAAATTGTCGGCGAGACTATAATTTATGGACGAGCCAATCAGAAGCGTTTGAAGGGTTTCAAGGTCACGGCGCCTATTTCAGTACCTGATGCCCATGTACGGTCGATTCACAGAGAATTTTAGAGAAGACTTGACAATTAAGCAGCTACAAGAAATGAAACTACTAAGAAGTTCCTGTATTTGTAATTACGAGTATTAAAAGACTTGTAGACCTTGTGCAGACTACCGTGATATTGTCCGTCGATGTAATATATGTTAAAGGAAGACGTTTGCTAGAATAGGAACTGCAAACACGAGAAAATCAGGCTGTCTTCAGACCTGGTCGTGGCTGTATCGACCACATATTCACCATTCGTCAAGTTTTAGAGCACAGACACGCTTATCGGCGTCCGACAATGATAGTTTTTCTTGACTTGAAAGCAGCATTTGACTCTGTAAACCGAGAGGTTCTGTGGCAGTGTCTGTCATTGGAAGGTGTACCTGAGAAGTACATAAACCTTGTGAAGGCTCTTTGCTCGAACACTATTAGTCGAGTGAGAGCTTATGGCGAACTGTCATATGATTTTACAACCTCAAGTGGTGTCCGTCAAGGCTGTCCACTATCCCCATTTTTGTTTAACTCCATTATAGACCTGTTTGGTGAAGACGCTGACAAAATGCAGAGTCTTCTGTTGGAACTCAGTAATAATGCCAGGCTGTTTGGGATGCGTTTCTCCCCAACCAAATGTAAATTGTTACTCCAGGACTGACCTGCGTCAACACCCGAACTAAGGATAGGGAGTGAAGTAGTCGAACGCGTCGACAACTTCACTTATCTTGGAAGTCTGATCAGCCCTAATGGGTTGGTGTCTGACGAAATCTCAGCACGGATTCAAAAAGCTCGTTTGGCTTTTGCCAACTTACGTCATCTATGGCGAAGACGAGATATCCGTCTATCAATTAAGGGACGAATATACTGCGCAGCAGTTCGCTCTGTTCTACTTTACGGCTGTGAAACATGGCCATTAAGAGTAGAAGATACACGTAGGTTACTAGTATTTGACCACAGATGCCTTAGAAATATTGCTCGCATCTGCTGGGATAACCGGGTAAGTAATAGTGAGGTTAGACGCAGGGTATTAGGGAACGATGGTAAATCAGTTGATGAGGTGATGAATCTTCATCGACTGAGATGGTTGGGCCATGTGTTACGTATGCCTGAACACCGATTACCACGACGCGCTATTATGACTAGTATTGGGGATGGTTGGAAGAGAGTTAGGGGCGGCCAAACCAAAACATGGCATCAGAACATGAAGTCACTAACTTCTAATCTGAACCCGGTTGGTAGATACAGAGTACTTGGTTGGGGTCCGCGTGACTATTGTAATCAATGGTTGGTGACTCTAGGTGACATGGCTCAGAATCGATCAGAATGGCGCAGGTCTATACACTCTTTATCTTTCTTTAAACCTTGAGATTAAATTGTTTCATAACTTTTTTCCTTCCTATACTATATCTTTATATACAACCTTTCTTTTATATATTACCATCACTAAATTAACTACTATGAATCCGGTGTTCATCTTGTTGTGCTAACGAGGTATGGCAACTTGGACCGATGCATATATGTGCCTGGTCCTACGTTGTAGCTGACTGAGAATAGGAACCCTTATCGTTCGATCCAGATTGAGACTAAGGCATATTATTATAATTATCGCCAACTGTATGATAAAAGCATCAGTAACATTGGTTGCAATGATCGCAGATGTTACTGAAGCTTTGGCTGTGCAGTGGTATGAGTATTGTAGGGACATATCAACAATAAAAATGACAAACTTACACAATCGGAGTACATACAAACAATATTGAAGCTATGTGGTCGAGGCTGAGAGAGCTTGTGTGACCTTATTATGGCTCCAAAGACCAACTATTATGGAGCCATATGGATGAGTTCCTCTACCTTATGCATTAGGATTTTAGAACCTTTGAACCTTTTTTTAACATTGACAAGTTTTTGGACCATATAAAAAAAGTTTATCCACTTTAACTATTTGGTTTTGTATAATATATTTTTACTCTATGCTGACTGTTTACTGATAGATCAACATATCTCAAGGTCATTTAAGATTCGTTCAAAGGTCGTCCATAAATTATAGTCCCGCCAAATTGTCTAATTGATTGATACAATTATGATCATAAGAACAAAGCAGATCTTTTTTTAAAAAAGAAACAGATTTCAGATCAAGAGAAAGTATATATGATATACATTGAAATTTACAATCTAAAGAAGAATAGTAATTCATGATATATGTATATATGTTGGGTATGTTAAATCCTCAGAACTTACTTGATAAATAACTTATTTTTGTAATTTTATTTCGAAAAGTTGAATCTCCTTGTTTTCGCGCCAAAAGTGCTCCATTCACCTTCGAGTCATATTTCCCACTTACAAATATCTTAAACGCTATTGGTCCATGGTATCTTTTTAGTGTGGTATTTTGCAATGCTTCCCAAGGACAACTTTATACTGTATAAATACGTTTGATTTCTTCCTATTGTGATTGCTTGTACTTTGGCTGCTTACGGAATATAATTTCCCCTACTTCGTCTTGGACTTCTTCCTCTAGTTAGCGTGTCATTGACCTTCGTTCGTTTACCGAGAAATCGTAATTAGCATCAAGCATATCAATATAATAATAGGATTATTATACTATTCATGGAGTTGAGTATAATCATTTTTAAATTATTATAAGCTTACTTATCCACTGGATCATAGGACCGAGTTTCTTGTGTAATTTTTCCACCAGAATTGAGAATTTCAGATTGGCGCCTAATCTCATAGTCTGGAATGAAAAAACCAACAAATTGTACATTAAAACTGCAAAATTTCTACTGGAGACAGAATTTTTCTAACAAATGAGTATCACAATAATTGGAAACCTTGGTGCAATGAACAATTGTTGCTCTTTGTTCCAGACTACACATTGAAAATAGATAGACAATACTCTAGATTGATCCTTAAGTGAACACACTCAAAGGTGTATGTCTCATTTACAACATGTAAGAACTCCTATCAGTCACAGCTCAATGAGTCCAGAGTTCCGTCTCATATACAGGATAGTAGATAGCGATTGAAAAGTCGTACGCTAGAACGAAACAGATATTTAGTACTCCCTAGGTTTCAATGGTTCTTGAGACAATGTTATTATGAAATGAAAACCATCTACAAATTTAATTAACCTCTACAGTCCCCTTATCTAATCAAGAAAACATAATATTTACGTTACTGATATGCATTCGACAAAACGTTACGTGCCATACTACTTTTGGTCAACAGTGAAGATTTATCCAGTTTTTAAATCAAGTTTAGAATATTTCTTTACTTATTTAAACACATAAATATTGGTACAAGGAAGCACCAGATACATATGCGCCGCACAAATCTCATTCGATATGTGTGGGAGCTGTGATACTGCCCACGTGCCAAAACCCAAACAGGTAGTTTTCTTAGAGGGCCACACCCGGATCCTCTGACCTAAAGATCTGATCCACAAGGCAATGGAGCATCGTGAAGAGATGCAGTCCCATGGTAGCCGGTGACTAACGGTTGATTCATACGCCATTTGTCCCCTCACGACACAGGAGCCTATGTGCACCATTGGTTTGGAATCAGGGTTTTCCAACTTCCCTAAGTGGACCCTCCGTGTCCACGAACCCGGCTCAAGCGCCGGACATTTGCTTTTCGTCCTCTTAATTTCGTAAACAACACCCGTAGTGCGAGAAGGCAGTGAGTAGGACTTCCTTGGTAGAGACTATATACGCGTGGCCATGTGAGAGCGTTTCGAGGAGAAGAGTGGACTCTCCCCACTCTCTGCTGTATCAGGGCATTTAGGGGCTGTCTAGAATATATATATACATAAACTTATTAATATAGTCACTAGGCAACAGTACAAATGCATATTGGTCTAAGTTGTCAATCTTCATATCAGCAACACAAAGAGCGTTAACTAACAAGAATAAATGGAAATGTGAAACCTCGATCAATCGTTAGCGATACTAACCAAACAAGAAGTTCACATCTATACGGATTCATGTACTGATATTATGTACTGGTTTGGCGATAGTTCATTACTTTAAAAATGTGATAACATCAAAATACTGAAGAAAAACACCACGATTTCCTATATCAAAAACATATAAATTTGACTTTTTGTATTCATTTAGATGGAGAAGTTCATTACACTTTACATTCTAAGATTAGAAACAATAATGTGTTTCGACATATGTTACTTCTACATCTATCTCATCCATGAATATTGTGCAGAATGTATTTTAAACGCTCCGTTTGTATGAAACGGTATCAAATTATGAGTAATATTAAAGTTCAGAATTTCTTCTTGACAGAGAAAATCAATACATCTGTGAAATTATGTAAAGTTGTATCAGATGAAATTTAAAAGGGTTATTTTTAACATACTACTCTGAGTGGATCCTCCGCATCCACCAACTCGGTTAAAGCGCCAGACATTCACTTTCGTCCTCTCAATTAGAATAAACACTAGTGTTAGTGGGATATGGATTGGGTTCAAGCATATTTCAAACACAGTTCCTTTTATCATCTTGAAAAGAGCAAGGACAAAGCATGTTTTGGCTAGGGTTATGTTAAGGCATGTTTATTGACTATTTCTCCAACAATCAGCGCTAGCAGATACCTAGAGAAGACTCGACAATCTCCATATGTGAAAATTATAAATATACTGGCGTTTCTTTTATTGTGATTTCTACCTCCATCCAACCTTGCTATTCGAAATATAACTACGGTCCTACCCAACCGTGTTCTGATTTGGGGACTTATCGAGTGATTTTTTTTATTCATTTAAACACATAAATATTGGTACAAAGAAGCACCAGATACATATGCGCCTCACAAATCTCATTCGATTTGCTTGAGGGCTGTGATACTGCTCAGGTGCCCGAACTGAAGCAGGTGGTTTTCTTAGGGGACCACACCCGGAGCCTTTGACCTGAAGGTCTGATCCACAAGGCAGTGGAGCATCGTGAGGAGATGCAGTCCCATGGTAGCCGGTGATCAATGGTTGATTCGTACGCCATTTGTTCCTTCAGGATACTGGAGCCCATGTACACCATTGGTTTGGAATGAGGGTTTTCCAACTCCCCTAGGTGGATCCTCCACATCCACCAACCCGGTTAAAGCGCCGGACATTCGCTTTTCGTCCTCTCACTTTTGTGAACAACACCCGTGATGCGAGAAGGTAGTGAGTAGGACTTTGCTGGTAGAGGCTATATATTCGCTGGCCATGTCAGAGCATTTGGAGAGGGAGAGCAGACTCCCCCCACTCTCGGCCGTACCAGGGCATTTGGGTGTCCAAGACTATTAAGCAATAAGAGTAGTTTGGTCATAATAAGAGAAATCATAACAACTTGTTTATAAAATTTAGGTTTGAGTGCCATCTCTATGTTATATCCCAAAGCGATTTATGAATGGTAACTTTGAGAACCATTTATGGAGCAATATGGTATGTATATTTACTATTGTATAATTGATAAGTGACTAAACTATTCATATTCGTGTTCCTCTTATTATAAGCTTTATTTTGACCAATAGACTATTATTATACGGTTTACCATTCTTGAGTTATCCCTAGTCGATTAATTACTGTTCTACCCTATTCACAGCCACATTTGGCTAACTCTTGTACAAATGTACAAATGTTCTATTTCTACGATGTGGTCAGTTTATTTGGTATATAAACCCAGTATCTTTGAGAATGATTCATATTATAGAGGCTGTTATTGGTATTCTAGACTTAACTGGTTGGGCTAGGCGGAAAGCAGAACTGATAAGTACTCAAGACTGCTCATACGGCTTTTGTGTATCATTGATCTTAAATAAAGATAGAACAAATATTGATGCAGAATAATATGAATTCATTATATTTCGTGGTTTCTCATCAGCTGCTTACAACCAAATATGCATTAGAGTTTTAGCATTAGGGTAATAAATAGAATGGAACAATTGACATAAGGGAATGTAAAGGATTGGAATAACAAAAGTCATCGATGATAACTATATATATATATATATATATATATATATATATATGGGCAAGGAAAGGTCAGAGGTTATTAGGTATTAGAATAAAGGGTAGCATAATAGTTGAGTGGAGTTCAGAGACAGATAAAATCAAAATGTGATTATGTTAGAGGTAGTTGAAAACAATTAGGGTGGGATTACGTAATGATTGAATAATTTATAGACGTAGTTGAAAAACAATTAGGGTGGGATTACGTAATGATTGAATAATTTATAGACGTAGTTGAAAACAATTAGGGTGGGTTACGTAATAATTGAATAAGATTTGGATAGTTCATATAATTAGGAGTGACAAATGAGCGGAAATGTGTGAGAGAAAGGGTGGTTTAAGAATTGGGTATAAAAAACAACAGAATATTAACCAAAATTGAACTAATAAAAAAAAAAAAAAAAAAAACTGAAACAAAACAAAAATGGGTTACCAAGGTAGTAATAAGTTTATCACTGTCTCTTTTTGAATACATAGGTCCGGTTTGAGTTTTTTTATCGCGATCGCCTCAGCAAACCGGAGAGCAGTTGTACTTCTTTGTTTACTAATGATTTTAAAGGCATTAGAAATGTCGATGCTGTGCCCGGTTTTGAGTAAATGCCGAGCTATCGCACTGTTGAGAGCCTTGGACCCTTGCAACCTCAGTTTCTTTGGAATATGCTCAGAAATGCGGATATGCACTCTTCTCTCGGTTCTTCCAATGTATGTGCTTCGGCACGTACATGTAAATTGGTAAATGCAGTTGGAGGTACTGAGAAAAGAGGACTTATCGATTTTGGTTTGTTTGAGTGAGCAATTTGTTTCCCACACCGTCGTCAATTTAGCTGCTGGGTAGGTCACTTTCAACGCGGAATTAAGTCTGTGGTTAATTATTCCAGCGATTTCGTCACCTTTGAAGCGTAGGTATAGGAAGCATGTTTTCTTTTCAACTCGATCATACTTTATTCGACGATTGGTGTTTGCATATTTGTGGATGAACTTCTCTGGATATGCATTTTCACGTAGGCATTTGATGATTAAGGCTATTTCTTCCTCAAGACACTCATTGGAGCAGATTTTGCGTGCGCGGTCGAAAAGGGTTCGTACAATACCCTTTTTGTAACTCATCGGGCAGAAACTATAGTAATTGAGATACAGTCCACTCCAAGTGTTTTTGTGGTGAACATATCTTTGCAATGTACCCGCTGGTGTTCGTCTAATTCCAATATCTAGGAAATGGAATTTATTTTCGTCTTCATGTTCCATCGTAAATTCTATATCCTTGTGTGCTTTGTTAAATAAATTGAGCAGATTGATGGAGTGTTTATGATTGTCACAAATAAGAAAGGTGTCATCCATGTATCTGCAGTATAGTGTGGTACTATCGATAGCATGCTTAAGCTTCTTCTGTTCGAGGTTCCCCATAAATATGTCTGCCAGAATAGGACCCAAAGGGCTACCCATGGCTACTCCATCAATTTGACGGTAGAACACATTGTTGAATTTGAATTGTATGTTTTTTGTGCACAGAAACAGAAGCTGTTTGAAGTCATGAAATGGTAAAGGTAAAAGTTCAGAGTATTCACCTATGATGTCGGCCGTTTCATCTAAGGGTATATTGGTGAAAAGCGATGTGACGTCAAATGAGACCATGAGTTTATCAGATGCATTTACATTGTCATATATATATATATATATATATATATATATATATATATATATATATATATATATATATATATATATAGTTATCATCGATGACTTTTGTTATTCCAATCCTTTACATTCCCTTATGTCAATTGTTCCATTCTATTTATTACCCTAATGCTAAAACTCTAATGCATATTTGGTTGTAAGCAGCTGATGAGAAACCACGAAATATAATGAATTCATATTATTCTGCATCAATATTTGTTCTATCTTTATTTAAATTCATAAAGGGAACTAACTGCATGAAATATCATTGATCTGATCGATAATCCACTCCTCTCTAATTGGCGGGGATCATCACACCATATATCAAACAGGGCATTCAAGCAATCGATATAACACTCTACTTTGAATTGCTTTCTCCAGAAGTATTCAACAATCAATATAAATTGACGAATGGTGACTTGATTCTTCTTAATATTTTTGATACGAGTTCAAATTCAAATAGAAAGTAGGTAAACGATTAAAATCATTAGAATTTACAGTTAAAACTAAGGTCAGCACATTCGGTATGTAATGTAGTTAATCACTAACTCTATAGGAGGTAGCGAATTTCCCATGATGAAAGATATTTTTACAACAGTTCGTGAGATTTCTGGTGATTAAATCGTTTTTCATATTCAGAATGGGTTTTGTAGAGAATTCAGTATTTTCATAGTTGAAATCATGAGTCAACTGAAGCTAGATCACCAGGAAAAACCTGGAAGCTCTGAATGGCCGTCTTGTCCTATTGTAGGTCTCCTCAGCAGTGGGCATCCATGACCCCGCCTCGCGAAATTCCAACCCAGGACCGATCAGTCTTGCGCGCGAGCGCTTAACCTCCAGACCACTGAGCCGGCATCTGATGGTGTAAATGTCTATCTTCAACCAATCCACGAAGTTGAGCAACCGTTAACCAATTAATTGTCTTCAGTGAGTTGATATCTCACAACAGACGTGGCTGAACTCCATCATATAAATAACTAGTGGAAATCTTTGACGAGGAAAAATGTATACAATATTAAACACGAAATAAAGTGAATAAATTAAGGATGGTGAACAAGTTAATATGAAATGAAACTACCAACCAATTGAAGAAATCACACCATGAATAGTGCTAATATTTTTAATTTCAACTCGAGGATTTTGATTGGCTATATCCTGACCAATGGAAACATTGACATCAACACGAAGTTCACCAAATGCACCAATAGCATTACAACATTTTAAATGTCTTAATGAACGTGATAAATCCATAATGAATGCAGCAGTTTGATCAGATGAATTAAAATCTGGTTCAGTAACAATTTCTATAAGACCGACATCTGAAATGGATAAAGCAATGCAAAAGAGTTTGACTGAGATATGAATGCCATTTACTTTATTCTGAAAATCACCACTACTATGACTAGTAAATTGGCTTCATCTGGCATAGTTGTAACTAGGTAGCAAACTGCTATATCTAGGGTGTCGTCACTGTGTGTAAGTCCCGACTCTATTGAGTCCTCAATCTTACCCCTTTTACTTGAGAATCAGATTCCACCCCAATTCCTCCATTTTATTGCTTATGCTCGAAAACGAGAATCACTACGAGGCAATAAGAACGCGAAAGATCAGTGCAATGAATATATTTTTCATGTTTATTAAATGCTGGCGCCCATCAGCAGAGTCTCAGTTAATTAATGTGAAACTTATTATTGCCTGTCGTGCAATGTTCTATGGTGTAGGAGCAAGTTGGAAGAAAGCTAGGGGCGGTCAGACCAAAACGTGGCACAAATCCATCAAGTCACTGACAATTGGACTGAGCCATGTTGGTAGGTGTAGACTACATGGTTGGGATTTGCGAGATGATAGCAACCGATGGTTAGAGACCTTGAATGACATGGCTCAAAATCGTTTGCAATGGAGAAGGTGCATCCACTATTTGTGTTCTGCCAAATCTTCTAAATTCTTTATGCCTCTATCTTTTTTCCATTTCCAAATTTATTTCACTGGATTATACTCCTTGAATAACATCTTCAAACCCTAATATTTCACATCATGCTTTTACTCTTACTACTTCTACTACTATGGGATTTGAATCAACAACTGGATCTCTGTGCTAATGTGGTATGGCAACTTGAACTGATGTACATACGTACGAAGTTCTACGTTGTGACTGACTGACTGACTGTCTAATCAATTCGATAAACCATGAAAACAAATCAAACACACATATGATCAACATTTCAACTTACCAGAACGATTCAAATCAATTAAACTACAATCATGTTGTATATTATGTAAACTTTTACCGGTATCTTGTTCAATTTGTATACATTTAATACGAGCATGTGAACGATAATAAGATTGACCATTAATACTATGTATCATTTCTGAATATAATGGATCAGGTTGTTCAATCATTGAATTATCACGTAACCATATATAGTCTAAATAACCATTTACTGAAATTGGTTTATAATATTGTGTAATTTGATAACCAGCAGGTAAATCTGTATAAAAATAATGCTTACGATCAAAATGTGTAATTGAATTGATATTACAATTTAATCCAATAGAAGCAATTATAGCAAGTTCAAGACAATGTCGATTTAAAATCTATGGAATAATAAGATAATACAAAAAAAGTAAAAAGAAACTATTATCAGAAGGGGTTTTCTTGGAGATTTTTTTAGTAATTTTTTTAGAGTTGAGATTATGAGTTGAATCTCGCGAATGCGGGATCGTGGATGCGCACTGCCGCTGAGGAGTCCTATAATAGGACGAAATGGCCGTCAAGCAGTGCTTTCAGGTTTTCCATGGTGGTCTAGCTTCAATTGACTCATAATCTAAACTCCATAAAAGAAACTATTGTTTATTTTAATGAATTTATGATATAAAATTGCTGAAACACTATAATAAGTCAAATATAACCATGTAAAGTGACATTGTGGTGTGTACTACTTATATCAACATAAACAGTATACAACGTCAGTCAGGAATAGAATGTTTGGCAGAAGAAACTCAAGAAGATCGGGGAAGAAAGAACAGTAAAATTTGAGACAATTGATTGGCATTTTGCAAAACAAGTATTTACTGTATGTTTCTAAGATTTTACTGACAGGTTCTATGATTTTGTGTTCGATTACATTCGACTGTCCCCACTTGTATTCTCGTTCACAACAATATAGCTATTTGATTAATACGATATTTCTACAATGATCTTATAGATAAGGATAATAATATCTCAGTCATCATCTAACCAACTATTAGTGAATATATATTAAAATATTCTTAAACGATGCAGTTTTCGATAACACATGGAATCGAACTTAGAATATACAGACTTCGCCTTCGGACCCTGAGTTTGCTGGTTTTAGTCTTACCGATCTTCAACCGACCTGTCTGGCATGGTAGGACCTTGAGGAACGATTGTTCCAGACAGTATAGCTCGATTGGTACATCACGATAGGCAAGCCCGATCACCACGTCAAGGTAGCAGCAAAATATACTACAAGATAGATATTTTTAAAATGCATACTTTAATATTTACAAAATTCAACAGTTTCACTTACCGGCATACTACCAGGAATTGCAACATCATGTAGACCTAATTGTGTATTAGGAGGAGCTCCAAAACTATATGGTACATATGTAAACAATTTATTGGGTACAGATAATTGAGCATGAATTTCTAATCCAATTAAAGGGATATAATTTGTTATTCTTGTTGTTTGAGTTGAATATGATAAATGATAACATTGTGGGATAATTTGATTGATACAAAATAGATATTTATATTGTGAAACAACCTTCATATTGACGGTACTAGACAATGAAAATAAAAACAAAATTATAAATAATAAAGAAAGGAATCTACCTTATTACCAGTAATAATTACAAGTCAACTCCTATATAGATAACTGAATACTCAGTACTAAAATGATTGAATTTTTCTCAACAAAGGACTAATACGATATTGTAATTCTACATTGAGTTAATGTTGTAATCTTCGTTGCTTGTCACTAACATCTTTGATTTCAATATCAAGCAGAAGGGATCATAGTGAGAAGCAGTGACCAGTGGAGTTCAAACCACGTCTGTTGTGAGATAGGAACTCACTGATGACAATTGGTGAACGGTTTCTCAACTTCGTAGATTGGTTGGAGTTAGACATAAACACTATCAGATGCCGGCTCAATGGTCTATCGATTAAGTGCTCTGGCGCGAGACTGGCAGGTCCTGGGTTCGGATCTCGCGAGGCGAGGTCGTGGATGTGCACTGCCACTGAGGAGTCCCACAATAGGACGGAACGGCCGTCCAGTGCTTTCAGGTTTTCCCTGGTGATCTAGCTTCAATTGACTCACGCTTTCAACTATGAAAATACTAAATCCCCACAAAAAACCCCTTCTGAGAAGGGATTATGATTGTTGATGCCAAACATTTCTCTAAAGCTCCCGAAATACGTGATTTCGCATCAAGTAAAGAATTCTTTCGAAGGTAAAGTAACATGTCTAAAAAAGTTTAGATAGAATCAAATTGTTTCACACAACAATTCCTGATTGATCACAGAGAAATTGAAAGAAAAGTCAAAATACTTTTAGGTAATCAATAGATGTATTAGTGTAGTGAGCGAAAATTACACAGTGCATTCGAAAAAATATGAAAAATCATATATGAACTACGTCATTTGCACATGTCCATTCAGTTGTCCTTCACATACTCCATTATTCCTCTAATCCTGTTGCTATTCATATTGCCGTCTGATTTCCTTCTTGTTCTTTTCACTTCAATTTTCTACTGACAAGCATTCCAATTTCGATTGCTACTACATACTGTTTATATCCGTCAATATAAGTAGCATGCACCAGTTACATTAGTGACAATATACGACGTTATCCCACATCTAATCTATCTTAATTTATGAGCAAATAAAGAAGTCCATCACTTTATCCACTGTAACATATTCCGCACTGAGTGTAACTTATTTTGTAGATAAAGGCACATTTGTTTCCCATTGCTTATGTCTCCAGTCTATATAAAATGAAATGAAGTGATTGCGTTGGTTTGTAAGTGACAGACACATCTAAATGACGTCAGTCAGCAAGCTACAACATAGGACCAGGCACATATGCATCGGTCCAAGTTACCACACCTCGTTAGCACAACAACATAGACACCGAATTCATAGACGTAGTTAATTTAGTGGTGGCGGTAGTATATAAAAGATAGGTTGTATATAAGGATATAGTATAAGAAGGAAGACAGGTATGAAACAATTTTAATCTCAAGGTTTAAGGGAAGATAAAGAGTGTATACACCTATGCCATTGTGATCGATTCTGAGCCATTGGTTACGATAGTCACGCGGACCCCAACCAGGTAGTCTGCACCTACCAACATGGCTCAGACTAGAAGTTAGTGACTTCATGCTCTGATGCCACGTTTTGGTTTGGCCCGAATAAAACAAAAAGCGAGCCTTGGGTTCAAAATTACACATAACTCAAGCAATCCTGAGTTGATGGATCTATTTGGTGTCGGATACCGAAACTGGATCTCACCTACCATTTATTTCTTTTCGTTACAGTCCTATGTAAAGTAGCACACATATTTTATTAGCAGGATATAACAAACACATCAAGCTAAAATCTGAACATGCTGACTGGTCCATTTTTAACCACTCATCGCTAGTGGATGGATCAAGATAGCGGAAGTCTTTCATAGAACTTCTATACTGAATACTGCATATTTATTACTGTACGTTGCTATTGCGGTTCTTTGAAATATATTTTGTTCTGATTTGTCTCAAGAGAAATGAAGTATCATAGTTAAAGAATACTAGGTAAGAAAGAAATATAAGCAGGTATCACTAAAGCGAGACTAATGAAGATATATCCATGAGAGACCCTGTCAGAACACTAGAAACTCTATAATGTACATTCCTAGAATGTAATCATGTTTTCATGATTCACTGATGTATTTTGGTTTGTACATGGATTAAGTTCACAGCTCATTATCTTGCTTTGCATAACACAGATGTCATCCAAACAAAGTAACAAATGGAAGTCAATAAACAGTATTCTATCAAATACGAAACAGAAATTTCATTGTAATGGTCGATCATCTAACATTCTATGGGACCTGTATATCATAAACCGAAATATAGCAAGATGAAGAAATGACATGTGATTACTGAAGGTTACGTCCAACGTAATAAATTCACAATACTCAACTACTAGAAAATCTCACTAATTAAAAAGGATAAAATAAATAATCCAGACAACTTAACTTCTGTGTGCATATTTTTATGCGATGTTAAGAAGTATGGTATGAAAAATAATATAAAATTGGTAAGGTAAAGTTAAAACCTGTTACTTATCTGTTAGAAACCAATTACATGGATCAATGAGTTCCCGATCAGTCAGCTACAACTTAGGACCAGGCACATTTATGCATCGGTCCAAGTTGCCATACCTCGTTAGCACAACAAGATGAACACCGGATTCATAGAAATAGTTAATTTAGTTCCCGATGGTGATAGTATATAGTAGACAACAAATAGAGATATAGACTCAATAACTCCATACGCTGATATGAACTAACAACTTTCAATTATGAGTATAAACAAGAAAATCCAACCATTGTTAACAAATCAAACTTTAGACATTTCGAACAATCAATCCAAATAATGATGAGAACAAGTATGTTACTAAATAGACTAGAAATGTAAAGATGAGAATATGAATCATTCTTGAGTTATCAACTAGTTGTATTAATAAGATAGGTAAATGGGAAACATGAAAGCATTTAGGGTAGCTTCTTGCTAAGAAATTTGAAACACGATTTAAATTTATTTCGTAGTCCTTAACGTCATAACCTATGAATAACTCTTAAGAACTGCAGACAACCACTAAAATAGAGATAACTTAGTTGTCACAAGTTCAAATCATTATTATGTAACGAAAAATGATAACTTTTAAAAACAAACCACATATGCAGATAGTTTTCACTACAAATCGAAAAGCCACTGATTAAGGAATGTATACAGCGATGTAATGTAATTATCTTATGAAATCACTACCTCCTATGAACTGGGTCACACGGTGGTGTAAGTTTATTGCTCATTTTCATGGGTGTAATATTGATGGATGGCTTAAGGCATTAAGTGAGATTATACAAAATTTATCCCGGTAAGATAGTTTCATTTATTGTTCATGTTGCAATAAGACTACAAATTATCATTTGTTCTTACTTCTAATCTCTTTTACTATTGTTGAACACATTGACCATTCTCAATTGATATGTTCCACTTGATTATGAATAGTATGCTACTTCACCAAGTTCTATGTTAAAGCCATTTAAATATATCAGCATTCTGGAAGTTTTTCATATAATATTCAAACTTAGTGACAGTGGCACAGACCGTGGCAAAGAAAGTAGTACAGTGAGTAGAACAACAGCAGGAGTGACTGTTCAAAGAGAGGATGAGTGTGGTGTATGCTATTTTTGTTCACAGATATAAATAGTATGTAACACAAGTTCGAAGTAGAATGCGTGCGGGCAGAATATTGAGAACATTGAAATAAAAAGAGAGAACAGAACTGGGAACGATCAAAGTAACAACAGGAATGAAAGAACAATGAAGTTTGTAAAAGACGATTGGTGGAGGATTTGCAAACGATGCATTTAATGTGTGGTTTTTATATTTTACCAAGATACTGTGATTTTGTATTAAATAATAAACTGGTCTTCCTCACCTGAGTTCCTCGTTCACTACATTTGGCACCACTGCCAAAAGGAAAGTGTGAAGGGTGCCATTCAACACAAATCAAAAAACGAATATGGCTGTTCCATCCGCCAGTACTTTATCTTATGGCATAATAGAAATACAAGAAAAGAATAACTTGTGGGACTGAGAAAAATATTTCTTTAGCGAAAATAAAATTTTATTCTAGATATTTTATACAACTTGAAAATACAATGGGAAAAGGGTTAAAGAATTTTGTCAAAAAAATTCAGTGTCAAAATGAATAAATTATTTAATAAGATTATTTAGACCATACAGTGGAGTAAATTAAAACATAAAGTTTAACAATTTCAACCATATTGATCAGTAGTCTAAAAATTTTAATCTCTAATTTAGCCACTCGCTCCCAAATGCCCTAATACAGGCCGAGAGTGGGGAGAGTTCGATCTCCTTCATCAAATTCTCTCACATCGCCACACGTATATAGCCTCTACCAGGGAAACCCTACTCACTGCCTTCTCGCACCACGGGTATTGTTTACGAAATTGAGAGGACAAAAAGCGAATGTCCGGAGATTTGACCGGGTTGGTCGACACCGAAAGTCCACCTAGGGGAGTTGGCAAACCCTGATTCCAAACCAATGGTGAACATGGGTTCCAGTATCCTGAAGGAACAAATGGCGTATGAATCAATCGTTGATCACCGGCTACCATGGGATTGCATCTCCTCACGATGCTCCACTGCCTTGTGGATCAGATCTTAAGGTCAAAGGCTCCGGGTGTGGCCCCCTAAGAAAACCACCTGCTTCGGTTTGGGCGCACCTGGGCAGCATTACAGCCCTCATACAGATCAAATGAGATTTGTGTATGGCGCATATATATCTGGTGCCCCTTTGCACCAATATTTATGTGTTTAAATAAATAAATAAAAAAGGTGCCACAAAAAAATATGAATAAATCAACAAAACAAACACTGCAAATAAAACACAGTTTATTTTTAATGATTTTTATTGATACAACAGCATATTACCATATTTGTAAAATAATACAGGTAAGAAACAAAAATACTCGCTATTTATGAATGAAGTTAGGTATGGTTTTTTCACATTATTAAAGAAAAGTTAGACCTAAATTGTACAAGATAAAGTATATTAAACATAAATATTATGGATTCATATTTGGGCCTCGATTACAGCCCCATCTACAGCACCGGCGATAGGTACAATCAGGTTATCCTTACTCATGAGATTGTATTTTAATACAAATGTGGTAAACCTTCGACATAATGCAGTTGATTCCTGGTTAAAATGAATAATAAAAGAAAACTAGAAAACTCTCAAACTAAAAAGCATGAAACATGTTAGAATGTACCTCACCACTAATCACAAACAATCACTACACAACAAAGGATATTGAAGTGTTTTTAAAGCACTAAACTATCAGTCTAATTTTCACAGTTGCACATCGTACAATTGGATCAAAGATATTTTTTTACTTGTTGCAGCTCAGATGATGTAAAAGATGAGTTTTACAGAAAGCTTTCCGACCTCCTCCGAAAAGCTAGGCGTTCTGATGTAGTAATGGTGGCTGATGACCTTAATGCTCAAGTAGGCAAACTAAGCAAAAGGGAAAGACACCTGGGTGGATCTTATGGTGTCGTGGCTCAAATAACAGATAATAGCGACCGTCTGTTGCAGCTACGCTCACATAACCGCCTGTTTCTTGTAAACTTTAAGCACAAGGAAAAACATCTCTTGACATGGCGACCACCGAATTCGTCCCAACGTTGGACCCAAATAGATCACATCGCTATCAGCCACCGATGGAGGGGCTCGATAGAAGACTGTCGCTCATTCTGGAGCACATGCTTAAATTCAGATCATGCTCTAGTGCGAGCACGTATCTGTATGCGTCTTACTGGACGTAGGAAATTCACTGCAAGGAAGCCCTCTTAGGATTCTACTTAATGGTAGCCAAGCTAAGAATATTTTTTTAGGAACAACTAGAAAAACAGTTAGGCAGCCATTTAAGTTGTGCTCACCTAGATACAGCATGGAATGACATCCGAAAAGTTGTGGAAACAGAAGTGATATCTTCTAATACGGTAAACCATAAGATTACGGAGAAACACTGGATCTCAACAGCATCTACCGCACTGATAGGTGCTCGAAAACTCATCCTATCTGGCTCTGAACATAACGAAGAGCGGAGTCAGCTTAAGCGCAGGCTAATTAAAAGCCCACGCAATGATCGCGAACAGTGGTGGGTAGCAAAAGTAAGAGAGATGGAAAAGACAGCAGCAATAGGTAACAGTAGAAAACTGTTTAGGTCTGTTAAGGAAACCGGTATCAGTAACCCAACTGTTGGCAAAATCATCTCGGAAAAAGATGAACATATTATTCATTCTCAATCCAGGAGATTGGATCGATGGGCAGTAGCTTTAAACAAATAGCCTGGTACAAGTGGATAGGTCACATGGAAATGTTAGTTTTTTACTAAGGACAATGTCAACCTATACAATCTGTTAAAATTAAAATTTTAGCCCTATAATAACCAGGCTCCTAATCAACATTCCAGGTAAATTTTTATCACTAGAACAGATTTAACTCGATGTGAATTTATTAAAAATCCAAAATAGTAGTTATCACTTAATAATATTTTGTGATAGTGTAAAACGATTGATTATAAGAAACACGTACAAATTAAAGTGTGCAATAAATTAACGAGATAAGGTTTACTTACTTCAAAAGAATCAAATATCTCTCGATGATGATAATAGGCATGAGAGAATATTCTATAAACACGACGGCAAACAGAATCAAGACGATTGACTGACGTAACTTTGATACTTACTCTATAATGGTTAAAAAAAGATAAGCACTACAATTACCGACTGGGGAAGTATTTACTGCTATTCAATAGGCAAGCAGCTCCATCAAGCGTATGTCGTGTATAATCAACAGCTGGACACTATCAAAAACACAAATAAAAAACAACCAATAGTTTAAATATCATTTTAAAAAGGCCATTGGATAAACACGTCAAATCAATAATAAACACTTATTTATTCGCAACATTAATTTAAATGAACTGCATCACGCTGTTTGATATAAGTTTTAAACAGAGTGTGTTATGAACCTAGGGTAAAATTTACTACAAAATTAGGTTAGCAAATAAAATTTTAAAAACTTATTGGTGTCAGAATTTAAGTTGACATGGAAAAATCAATACCTCTTTGGGAGTCTTGTGAGCTGCACACAAAAATATCCATTGTTCAGTAGCAGTCATCTGAGGACATGTTTTTGGGGTACATTGCTCTTGCAAACAAACAGCTAATCCATTTAGTTCCATACAGAACTGTCTCAAATGTTCGTATTTCCATACTACTTCATCTTGACCCTCTGGAGCAGTTAAAATCTCATCTACATTGTTAAAATCACGTCTTATTGTTTGTTGTATATACTATAAATGTAAGATTTTACTAAAAAATGGGGAAATACCTGCTGAACAGCTAATGTACTTTCCATATCTTCGAACGGTTCATCGGGCCAATTACACCACTCCTTAAAGGTTATGGTAAAGACATTACAAGGATTGGACGTACCTCAGCCTTGGTACCAGGTCTGTTACGTCGAAAATAGACTTTACTTGTTGCCATTGTCTACAGAAAACAAGATAATTTCGACACCTGAATTTATTTCGAAAACGAAAGGCATTTAGCACTAAATTTATAAATAATTTGTACATACTTAGATTTCGTAAGAGGTTAGCATATTTGCCTCCAAATGCCCTGGTACGGCCGAGAGTGGAGAGAGTCAGCTCGCCCTTTCGAAATGCTCCTAAGTGGCCACGTGCATGCAACCACTGCCAGGGAAGTCTTGCTCACTGTCTTATCACGGTATTACTGTTGTTGAGAGGGCAAAAAGCGAATGTCTAGCGATTCAACCGGGTTGGTGTATATGGAGAGTCTACCTAGGAGAGTTGGAAAACCCTGATTCTAAACCAATGGTGCACATGGGCTCCAGTATCCTGAGGGAACAAATGGTTTATGAACCTAGTGTCGGTCACCTGCTACCATTGGACTGCATCTCCTTACGTTGCTCCACTGCCTTGTGGATTAGACCTTCAGGTCAAAGGCTCCAGGTGTGGCCCCCCAAGAAAACCACCTGTTCCGGGCTGGGCGCCCACGCAGTATTCCAGCCCTAACACAAACCGAATGATTTATGTGGCGCATATCTGTTTTTGGTGACTCCTTGTATGAATGTTCATGATTTTAAATAAGAGATGGTTTAGCTTCGGTATAGTAATTTGGTATCATTCTACAAAATTATCTCAATTACTGATTGTTTAATACAGCCTTCCTTCGAGATGCTGACAAGCTCCATGAATTCAAGATAACTCTCAACAACAGGTTACAAGCTCTACAGGATCTACTGAAAGAACAAGAAACTACTTTGGAGGACAACTGGAAAGGGATAAAAGAAGCACTAACTTCAACGTGTCAGCGGGTTCTTGGTCCTAAGAAGCACCATCACAAGGAATGGATCTCTATGGGAACCCTGGACAAACTTCAAGAAAGGAAGAACAAGAAACTAGCAATTAACAACAGCCGAACACGAGCAGAGAAAGTCAAATCACAAGCAGACTACGCAGAAGCAAACAGAGAAATGAAGAAAAGCATTAAAGCCGACAAGCAGAAATATATGGGAGAACTAGCAACGGCGGCGGAAAAAGCCGCAAGAGAAGGGAATATGAAACAACTATATGATACAACGAAGAAATTGGCAGGGAGATATAGCAAACCAGAGAGACCAGTCAAAGACAAAGAAGGAAAGACAATCACTGAGATTCAGGAACAGAGGAAAAGATGGGCAGAATACTTTGAGGAACTGCTGAATAGACCAGCCCCATCGAATCCACCGAACATCGAAGCAGCCCACACAGACCTTCCAATAGATGTCACTCCACCAACGATCGAAGAAGTCAAGATGGCCATCAGACAAATCAAAAGTGGGAAGGCGGCAGGACCTGACAATATACCAGCAGAAGCACTGAAGTCAGACATTGAAATAACTGCAAACATGCTTCACCTTCTATTCAAAAAGATTTGGGAAGAGGAACAAGTGCCACAGACAAACTGGAAAGAAGGATATCTCATCAAGATACCAAAGAAAGGAGATCTGAGCCAATGTGAGAACTACAGAGGTATCAGTTTGTTATCAGTACCAGGAAAAGTTTTCAACAGAGTGCTGCTGAATCGGATGAAAGACGCAGTAGACGCCGAACTTAGGGATCATCAGGCTGGATTCCGTAAGGATCGGTCGTGCACAGACCAGATTGCGACACTACGGATCATCGTTGAACAATCAGTTGAGTGGAACTCATCACTATACGTCAACTTCATCGACTATGAGAAGGCGTTTGACAGCGTGGATAGGAGAACATTGTGGAAACTTCTTCGACACTATGGAGTTCCTCAGAAGATCGTCAACATTATCCAAAACTCATACGATGGATTACAGTGCAAAGTGGTGCATGGAGGACAGCTGACAGATGCATTTCCAGTAAGGACCGGAGTCAGACAAGGCTGTCTACTCTCCCCATTCCTCTTCCTTCTAGTGATTGACTGGATTATGAAGAATTCGATATCTGAAGGGAAATACGGAATACAATGGACTTCTCAGAATCAATTAGATGATTTGGACTTCGCAGATGACCTAGCCCTCCTCTCTCATACACACGACCAAATGCAGATGAAGACAGCAAATGTAGCAGCAGCCTCCGCATCGATAGGCCTCCACATTCACAAAGGAAAAAGCAAGATTCTCAAATGCAACACGGAGAACACCAACCCAATCACACTTGATGGCGAAACTCTGGAAGAGGTGTAAACATTCACATACCTGGGAAGCATCGTTGATAAACAAGGAGGATCGGATGCAGATGTAAAGGCAAGGATTGGCAAAGCAAGGGCAGCATTTCTACAATTGCAGAACATATGGAACTCAAAACAACTCTCAACTAATTTCAAGGTCAGAATCTTTAATACGAACGTCAAGACAGTCCTACTGTATGGAGCTGAAACGTGGACAACTACTACGGCCATCATCAGGAAGGTACAAGTATTTATAAACAGTTGTCTACGCAAAATACTCAACATCCATTGGCCGGATACCATCAGCAACAGCGTTTTATGGGAGAGGACAAACCAGCTTCCAGCTGAAGAGGAAATAAGGAAAAGACGTTGGAAATGGATCGGACATACATTAAGGAAATCACCAATGTGCATCACGACTCAATCCCTAACTTGGAATCCGGAAGGGAAGCGGAAAAGAGGAAGGCCAAAGAACACACTACGCCGGGAAATAGAAGCCGATATGAAAAGGATGAATAGCAACTGGAAAGAACTGGAAAGGAAGGCTCAGGACAGAGTTGGATGGAGAATGCTGGTGAGCGGCCTATGCTCCTCGACGAGGGGTAACAGGCGTAAGTAGTAATTACTGATTGTTTCAATTCTTAGTAAAGTAAATCGACCTATGATTACTAGACGAGTGACAACAATCAGGATTACTGACAGGACCTTACGCCAACATCGAGGGTGCAAAAATGGTGGTAGATAATTTTTTGGACTGAAATGGATAGAACTTTTGTTATGTATGCCTAAATCGCTTACACAGATATTCATAGGAAAATGAAAGATTGGAAGAAAGATAAGGATAACAAACACAAGTCACAAAATGATTCTACGAAATGAAGACCTGTACTTTAGGTGGGTGTTTTTGGTAACTTTGAATCCGATAAACTGGACAGTCTAGTCGCAGAGACTGAGTCGTCCTTTCGGATATCACCAGCGCTTACTTCAAATAGAAGTGCACATTTCCATTATTTCACAAGTATTTTGTCAGTATGTTCTGGTGAAAATGTCTTTGACTGACTGCCTTCACGGTTTCCATTATCTTTATGCGTTTATTCCTTCCCTTTAGCTACTTTTTCAGTTAACTAATAATCAAGTGACTGGTTGATCTTTTCTAAACAGATTAATAAATCGAATTTATATCAACATGTCTGTTGAATGCAGAATGGCTTGTATGTCAAGGTTCTACAAATTTTCCGATAGTTTCCGGATTTCTCAGATCTAGATCTCTGACATATTTCTGATTAAATGCGTCCGGAGTTGTTTGTATGCAATGATATAAGTAGTAGTATATCATGCCCTTCCAATCCTAGTTTGTGTACATTTGATTCTGAACAATCTCGACTTTTACAATGAGACCTCACAACTCATCTATGTGAAGAAACTTCAACTCCTAAGACAGAGTTCAAACGGTTTATAAGGCTCTTCTGCTTGGCGTATTTATTTTAGCGGTTTCATTTACGGGATAGGGGTCCCTAACCCCATGCTCAATCCCCCTCCTTTGTCAGGGCTTCAGACCGGCAGTGATCCTATAGGGGATAATTATTTTAACCTGTGACAAAATTGTTTGGGCTGACCAAAATAAATGGCGCCTAAGGAAGACGACTCAGGATTTTTGAAATTTTTTCAAATGAGCTAATAAATATGAGCATTATTTGCCTAGACTTATTACCAGCTTATATTGTACTGGCCATGTAGCTCGGTGTGTGATCATGAACTCGTTTTAATGTATTTGGTGATAGAAAACGTGAGCGCAAACACAAATAGTGATCAAAAGCCGTCAAGTTATATTGCTTCTAACGACTACATCAGCAGCTTAACAGTCGATCAACGAATCTACCACATCATTTCCTAAACTTAAGGGCTGAAATAGACACTAAGTCTGCTTTCTAAGACTAGACATTGTCAACATATGCTAACGAAAATCACGCACAATGAGAAAATAGCTAAACAATGCTATAACTCAATAGTTTAGTTAGAGGAATGGAAACTCGGGTTACTAGATATACTGTAAAGCCAGACGAGTACACAAATAAGAACAAATCAGTCCAACTAATTCTGTTAATCCGAAAAGGCTAACAGTAAACAAGCCAACCTAGTGAGTTAATTATACAACATTGCAGTGACGCAGAAAATTAACTTTGGGAAAGTATAAGTGAACTGTGAGAAAATTTCGGGGTAAACTACTACCTTCTAAATTAACTTCAGATGGTCTATTAGACATCGTATTTAGGTATTTCCCACCTTGAAGTATCGTAAAAGAGGACAGTAATGTGATTAAAAACGAATTAAGATTATTGTATCTTTATACATATGTAGGTATGTACCCCAAACAACCAATAAAGGAGAAATAAAGCGGATGAAAGCGTAAATAAAAAGGGAAATCTTGATTTTCCGCCTTAACGTTGGTTATTTAGGGGAAATGTCGATTTTTCTTCCTTACATCGTGTATTTGGGGAAGATTTGTAAACAATTGAACGTAACGTACCCAATTTGAATAAGCCGCAATCTGCAATTATATTTTCCAGAGCATCTACAAAATAACGCACGGTTAGATTACATTGAAGAATATTATCATTAACAGAGTCAATGAAATACGGACACAGCCATTTTTCTTTGATGAATATCTACTTACTTTTTCTTTTTTTTTAGCTAAAGTGTTCCGACATGCTTGGTGGCTTACGTAATGCAAGTGAGTAACTTGCTCTCTGTTTTCTAAGTTCCCTATGACTAATTACCTTGTTAGTCCTCTAAGATGAGTTCAAGCAAAGTCAATTGTTAACTCGTTTAGCGTCCTTGGCTGTTATAGATCTACTTGTAACAGACAGTGGAATAAATGACGAACAGTTTTCATCATGAAACATAACTTTCTTTCGATTAGTAAGTTCGCCAATGAAAGCACGATTAGAGGCAACTGATTTTGACTGTGATTTATGTAGAACTGATGGCAGTTAACAAAGAAATTAATTATAATGAGATTCCTTCAACTGTAACTTCTTCCAATAGCCTTACCAATGAAAGGCTAATGGAAGATAATGGTATGTGCGTGAAATGAATACGTTAATAAATTTCTTACAGGATGTCACAACGTCAATTTGTGTTCTCAAAAGTCCGTAAATCGTAAAGAGCAGATCAACAATATATTGATGAATTTGGTGACAACAACCTGTCTGAGCATCAGAGATGCTGATCGTATTCTGAATGACTTTTGAGATCGTTTTCCGGACTCACCGACCAGCATCCGAAGTGTCCTGAGGACGTCCACAAGTGTCCAACCAAAGGTTAATCAGCAGCGGGGTTTACTATCATCTCAGATTGAAGACCAATCTGCTAAGATATGTTGAACTTTGGTTGTGTAATTGTTATTTTGATACTTTAGAATTGTATATTAATATAGATGGACTTTCTATTTTGAAGAGCTCTAGTCAACATTTATGGCCTGTATTAGGACGGGTCCTTACCCCCAGATTTACTTACTTACTTACTTACTTACGCCCGTTACTCCCAGTGGAGCATAGGCCGCCGACCAGCTTTCTTCAACCCACTCTGTCCTGGGCTTCCTTTTCTAGTCCTATCCAGTTCTTGTTCATTCTTCTCATGTCTGTCTCTATTTCTCGGCGTAATGTGTTCTTTGGTCTTCCTCTTCTCCTTTGACCTTCAGGATTCCATGTGAGGGCTTGTCTTGTGACGCAATCAGGTGATTTCCTCAAGGTATGCCTAATCCACTTCCAGCGCTTCTTCCTGATTTCTTCCTCTGTTGGAATCTGGTTTGTTGTCTCCCACAGTAACTTGTTGCTGATAGTGTCTGGCCATCTGATCCGAAGTATCTTGCGTAGACAGCTGTTGATGAACACTTGTATCTTCTGGATAATGGCTTTCGTAGTTCTCCACGTCTCCGCCCCATACAATAGAACTGTCTTGACATTTGTACTGAAAATTCTAACCTCGGTGTTGGTTGACAATTGTTTTGAGCTCCAGATGTTTTTCAGTTGTAGGTATGCTGCTCTTGCTTTGCCGATCAGCGCCCTCACATCTGCATCTCATCCACCGTGTTCATCAATGATGCTGCCCAGATATGTAAAGGTTTCCACATCCTCCAAAGCTTCTCCGTCAAGTGTAATTTGATTGGTGCATATTGTATTGTATCGGAGAGTCTTGCTTTTCTCTTTGTTTATATTGAGACCTACTGCTGCCGAGGCTGCTGCTACACTGGTCGTTTTCTCCTGCATTTGTTGTTGCGTTTGTGATAGAAGAGCCAGATCATCCGCAAAGTCTAAATCGTCAAGCTGCATCCTGCCTGTCCACTGTATCCCGTGCTTTCCTCCAGATGTTGACGTCTTCATGATCCAGTCGATCACCAGGAGAAAGAGAAAGGGTGAGAGTAAGCAACCTTGCCTTACACCAGTCTATACTTCAAACGAGTCGGTGAGTTGTCCTCTGTGGACGATTTGGCAGTTTAGTCCATCATAGGAGTTCCGTATGACATTGACTATCTTCTCAGGCACGCCGTAGTGTCGAAGAAGCTTCCATAGTGTCGTAGTCGATGAAGTTGATGTACAGTGATGAGTTCCATTCGATTGATTGTTCCACAATGATCCTCAGAGTTGCGATTTGATCTGTGCACGAACTGTCGTTACGAAATCCAGCCTGTTGATCTGGAAGTTGGGCGTCCACGGAATCCTTCATCCTGTTTAACAATACTCGGTTGAAGACTTTTCCTGGTATTGAGAGAAGAGTGATGCCCCTGTAGTTGTCGCACTTGCTGAGATCGCCTTTCTTTGGTATCTTGATCAGAAGTCCTTTTTTCCAGTCTATTGGTACTTGTTCTTCGTCCCAAATCTTACTGAAGAGGATGTGGAGTATCTTGGCAGTTGCTGTTACATTTGCTTTCAGTGCCTCTGCCGGGATGTTGTCTGGTCCCGCTGCTTTGCCACTCTTGACTTGTCTAATGACCATGCTGATCTCTTCAATTGTTGGTGGGCCAATATCGATTGGGAGGTCCGTGGGTGCTGCTTCGATGTTGGGTGGGTTCAGTGGAGCTGGTCGATTCAAGAGTTCTGTGAAGTGTTCTACCCACCTGTTTCGTTGTTCTTCAATGTCGGTGATTACTTTGCCTTCCTTGCTTTTCACTGGTCTTTCTGGCTTACGGTAATTTCCAGCAACTATCTTTGTTGTATCATACAGTTGTCTCATGTTTCCCTCTCTTGCAGCCTTTTCCGCTTTCATTGCTAAATCTTCCACATATTTACGTTTGTCGGTTCTGATGCTCCTCTTCACTTGCTTGTTTGCCTCTGTGTATTCGGCATGTGCCTTGGCTTTTTCCGCTCTTGTTACCCCCAGATTTAGTGATGTGTTAATGCTGGGGGTCTATGGAGGGAATACTAAGCCGGCAGAATTCAACAAAATTTCTGCGGATACCATTTCTGAAATAAAAATGACGGATGCGTGTCTGCTTAGTGTTAAGTTCAATAAATACGGATGAAGTACTTCACACTTGAAGAAAATGAGAACTCAAATTACTTTGCAACGTGACATAGGATGCTTCATAAGATCTGTAAACCATAATCTCCACTGTTTTTCTCGTTAGGTGTTACAATAAAAGCCATGTAATACACGTATACAATGATGACAATCTTACGTTCTTCAAAACCTGAGCTCGCGTATACTACAGTATTCATGAGCGATTATGGAGTTGGTAACACTTTGTTGTATGGGAAGCACTGAAAGAACTTTTATAATGAAGAAGCAAAGAAAATGACTTGTTCGCCTAAATAAGATCCGCGCAACCTAATACATTATCAGCCGGAAGTTCATCTCATTTCCTTATTACAGTTGGTCACAAAACTCAGGCTTTTTTGGCTCCTTGCAATTTTTTGATTTCGAAAACATGCCTAATGCACTAAAAGGCTGAAAGATTTAAAATCTCAAGGTAGTGAACGCTAGCAAACACCAACCGACCTTCACACCCGACCGCACTTTATTTCCATGACCTTGATTAGACCGCATGACAAGGGTCACTCCGTATTTGAAGGTCTTATATGCGTGTACGCCCGTATGGTTCACTGGTTTTGTGTATTTACGTAGTCTGCTGATGTCCAAAAAGCACAAAAGTCGTCTCTTGAAACATAAACTACGTTCTTTGTTCGTTTTTTAGTCACCCTAGACATTGAAATCGCCAACTCAACAATTTCCAAAAAATCTGTAACGGAATCCAGTATATCCAACATCTAATATCTTAGTGACGAACTTTTGCAAACCAATCGGCCTTTTCCTTATAACACTTAAAGATGCTTTCAGTTCTTATGATGTCTGCTAACCAGAGGGCTATCTTCTTCTGATCGCTTGTGCAGGAAAAATAGCGTTACAACTGACCGTTTGCATTACGTTACATCCGTGATTCCCATTCTAGCTGGAAAATGTGTCCCGTGAATGTATCGAAACCACCTGTTTAGTCAATACTGTGGGAACTATTGAACAAACCTGGATGTTTTGGCTAATTAAACATACGACAAGAAAGGGTACGGCTCCCGACATCTGATCATCTGTTAAACATCAAGGCCATGGGCTTTGCTCATGAATAACGCGTAGCAAATAATGGTTGAGTTACCAATAACCTGATTACGACAAACAGTCCGTCTGTCATACAAACATGAGCGAAGGACTGTTATCAATACCAGAAGCTCTTTTTATTTATCATAAAAGGGGTTTTCGAAGAAACGTATGTTCGAGTTGATGATGTTGCTAGACACCGACGACCTCTTTTCATTCTGTATGCACATTTATTATAAAACTTTCCTTCTTTGTGTTGCATATACTGTACTACAAAATGACAGAAACCTTGATTCCCGTAAGTTATCAACTGCCTGGTTAACTCTTCTTCACTTGGTAATCCAACGCCAACAAACATCTCCTGAGTCTTCCCTCGACTCTCTGTTCACTGTAGACATATGAAACAACATGACTGTGGTGACACAGTTTGTGGTGTGGTGATCTTGAAAGCTGATAGTTTCATCCATCTTAAAGGAGCCTCTCGACCAGATGATAAGAATCATGTTTTTGACTTTCTAAGGGTAAAAAGTCAAGAGTACGAGAAAATACAGTTTCAAACCCAGAAATCTGTGTGTTTTGGAGACGATCCACTACTCCAAGAAAACATTTGTCGCACCATAACAGAAATACCACTATTCCGACCACCTGCTTCTGATGCGTGAGCACCATCCTTTTTGTTGGGCATAGTGCGAAATGTCTAGACCTTTATGCCAAAGTCATAATCTTATAACAGTTCTGAACAGCCTGAGACAGCCCGCCCTTTCAAACACGATGAATTGAATCGGACCGTTATTATCACAGGAGAAAGCAAATTCTCGTATAGCAGATTTATCAGGATTAATGGACTGTCATATCAATCAGATACCCAAAACACATGTAGTCACATACACTTAGGTAGTATAGTTGATTGTTTTATG